GTGCTAAGCCCTTTTTGCTTGCTCTTGTTTGAGATGCAGGAAACCAGCAAGACCCGTACATGTATATAATCTAAATCACCACAGTAAAAAAGCCCTGCAAGGCGAAACTCCCGTGGCCATGAGCTCAGGAAGACATTCCGGACTGGGAGAAGGGACCAGCCCACCAAAGGGAGCCCCAACCTGCTTCTTCATATCCACCAGGTCGAACTTCAAGTGCCAGTTTGGCCGAGCCTGGGCTATGTGGATACACTACGGTGGCATGCTTGCTTTCGAGCCTGACCTTGATCCTCAAGCCCAAACATATCGGTCTTTGACGGGCTTATCCCGTCTGGGCTCAGTGGCCAGGCTGCTGATCTGCCCCTTGATGACAAGGCAATTTCAGCATTGATTGAGTGTTTGTGGTATGATCACCTGCGATTGCAGCCTCTCACCGTGGAGCCCCCACGCATATTCACGAATGAGCAACTGCCCAGGCTCTCAAGTTCAAGCATGCACAGCAAGGCCATCTCTTCCAATACGGCAGAGCCGGCACACTAAGACGCTAAGAACTCCCGACGATCTCCCCATTGTGTGAACCCTCGCTAGCGTTCTCAAATGAGCCGCACAATTTGGAGCCAAAAACACGAGGCACCATTCACAGCACATGGGGCCATTTGTTTCCGATGAGTTGAGTTCCTGTGAGTTAGGCCCACACTAAACTTGCTGGACACCGCTTGCAGCGGGGTCTACCTTTTAGGGAGCGTCTACTCACTGCAACCCCAAGCGCAGGCCCGTTGTTCTTCTCACGCTGCCACGATCCCAGGATGAGATGCACATCTCTGTCCCACCCCTGTCGGGGTCAGGGAGGAAAATAGCCAAGGCCCGCCCTGCCTCAAAACTTGTTGTGAATCAGAAGTAACCTCATCCGACGTGGTCATTACTTCGTCTCTTTCCTTGACTTGATCATGCACAGCAATTCGCTTGGGCTACTTATTGTGTAGAAAAACCCGTTCTTCGCCATCACATGAAGCAGCGAGCGCAGTTTGGCATGGACGGGCCAGGGCGAAAAACGGCCGGCCCTCGGCGACCGCCGAGGGTTCGGAGCTTTGCATTGGCCCCGAGCGCAAACGAAAAGATGTGGCAGAAACAAAGCCACGTGGCCATAGGCCGAGTGCCTAAGCAGGGTATGCGATGAGCCCGTCTCAACGACCGCCCCCTGTGAAGGAAACATGGCAAAGAAGAACAGACATTTCTGCCAAAAAACAAGCAGCATACTGTAGCATAATGCTTACTGTTAACAGGGTGTCAGCTGATATGGTCAAGAGCAACAAGGGCAAACAATCGCACACCCTGGCAAAACCAAAGTTCAGGCCTCAGTCGGGCTATCCACTGCCTAAACCCTTGGCTTCCTATTGTGTTTGTGTTGGTTTCTTGAGGCACCTTGCAATATTGAAAGACCACATGCCAGAAATATATGCATGCTCTGAAGAAAGTTCGCTCGGGCAGCCTGCTACGCAGCCATCAGTCCGGCAGAACGAGCCAGGCGGCCAAGCCAAAGAAAGGCACCTGAGCGAGCGGATGGTCCCAAATGCCAGCTGTGCAACTGCTGACGTCAACGCTTTTTGCAGGGCAATGCAAGCAACAAAGCCTTAAGGCTACAAACGCGGTGTTCACAGTGCGCGAAGAGAAGAGATGCAGCAACTCGAAATTTGCACGCCCTCCCGCCGGCGAACACTCCGAATAAGACGTCGGGTCTTAAGGCATGCAAGCACCCGACACCTGCTGCTCACAATGCCCCAACAAAAACTGGAACTTGGGGCCTTGGGGCCATACCTGACTGAAACAGAACCGAAAAGAAGTGGAGTACGGCTGGCAAACACTTCCTTTGGACGCTTACATTGTCCTGAATGCGATCCTTCAAACTGTGAACCTCCAGCGGCTGGGTAGCCAACTTTGACTTGCCAAGGCATCTCTGATCCCGATAAACCGATTGTTAAATCACCCTGCTCCAAATGTATGTGACTTTGCGGCGCACGTGCTTGAAGGATTGGCTGCCCAAAAACCGCCAAATCAACCAGTGTCCTTTCCAAGACCGCCTTCATGCGGGTTCTGATCCTTTTCCGGTGCCTCAAATGCAAGACAACCATCCATGATTTCCAAAGGTCTTCTTTGGCAGTTACTGGGCGCGCGAATCAGGAACGGCAATAACTGGAAGGTCTGAACATGCACGCTACCGGCTAATGTGTACAAGCAGCATGTCGTACATGTGGAAACGAGCTTTCACAAAGCGTGAATCGAACCCATTGCGCGTGTACCAAAAGCATCCAAATGCCCTGTTCCCAGTACACCCACTTTTATTCTGCGGCCCCCCACCCGCAAACACAAACTTCGGAGCAATATGGAGGCCCAAAATTGAACATTACTGGTAAACAAGGAAAGGCCGCCAGTTCAAAACGCACTTGTCCTGTCTGGCTGCTTCAACTTGGTAACTGGAATCCAGAAGAACATGCAACAACCAAAGCATCCTGACCCAACCGCAGGGTAGCATGGTTGAATCCCGCTTGCACCGCGAAGGAAGCTGCGACAAAGGCACAAACCGCCAGGCGGGTCCAGGCCGCTCTGCAAAGACCACCCTCTCAGGGCGCATTGGTGTTTGCCTGAGAGCCTGCCCTACGCCGCAAAACCAAATCCTTACAACCCACCTGAACCCTGAGCCTGAACCCGAAACCTAAGCTTTTAAACCCTAAGCTCCAAGCCTGAACCTAAGAGCCTAAACGCAACCCAAAACCTAAACCTCTCGCCCAAAACCCAGCTGCGTGACACTGAATTGGCGGGCGATCGATGGGGGTTGCGGGAACCACCAGACCATCGCACAAGAAGGAATCACATTGATCCGTTCATTAGTGTTGCGCCTTGATCACAGACATTCTTAGAATGGACAGATCATAAGTTCCATATCTGAGCATCGGTAACACGATAGCTCACGGAATAGACGCTGCAACAATAAACGACCCGGTGGTGAATTCACCCACGGACCACAGCCAATACCCCTCCACCAAACAACCTCCAACACGGCCCCTGCTGAAGTCATGGATTTTGGATTAGCCATCCACAGGCGCGAATTGAATGGCACCCAAAAGGCTGTGGCTAAAAATGCATGCCATACCTGAATGAGTCAGTCAACGGCGGCAACGGTTCCAGGCCCTGATTCCAGGCGTTCTCCCTAGTTGACTTTCACTTACACTTGCCCTGCCAAATAACACAAGCACCAGACTCATGCTAACAAATCTATCCGCAATTTATTGAGCGTAGAGGCCCAGGAAGCTTCTTCCTTGGCAAGCCCTTGCATCCAAACATGAACAGCCAATCCTGAGAATATCGGATCGCACCACAGTTTCAACTCCCGCCACCCCAGCCGCAAAACCAGATCGCATGCGTTACCCGCCCGGCCCCTGCAGAACAGCGAAAATCGCGATGTCCACGACCAAGGAGAAGGCCACTCGATCGCCAAGAAGGAACGGAGTTAGGCCGCCCTTAGATAGCTCCCGAGCCTATGAAGTGATCCATGGTAAGCTGTGGTAAAAGCACCCAGCCTTCCACAGCAACTGGTCTTTGGAACTCGCACTGCCAACATGGCAACGCCCTGTGAAAAGAAGAACTCCTTCGCAACAAATTCCGAATTAAGCAGAACACAAACGCTCATGCCCGACAAAAAAAATCTGCCGATTGCGACACGACGCGCTTGTTTCCAATCCTGCCTCTTCGTGATGGCACCCAGCAAACGCTTGGAATTCGTTTCCGCACACGTTACGCAGATTCCCGCGTGTCTCCCGCATGTCCCAGCACTATTCGCAACACTTTTCCACCAGGGCTGGTTGAAACATGCAGAACATAATTTGCACTTCCGAGCATGTTCCGGAAGTTCCCTCAAACAAGCGTGTAAGCAGAACAACTGCAACAAGCAAACACATGTTCTATGTCAATGCTTTGATGGCCTTTGACAGTCTTTGCAATCAAGCATCATATTCGCTGCCCAATGCCCAATGCTTCACGCTTGAAAGCCTACATAGGATGGCACACCAACCAGGCTCGAATCTGAATGCTCCCAATTTCTTGTGGAAGGCGCAGCCCGTTGCATCATCCCATATCAAACTTAGTCAAGGTGCATTTGATCATGGGGAATCCTCGCGTATCCCTGGCTGCTGTATCCCTAGTTGGTTTCCCTGACGAACGCAGCTTTGGCCCACCTGCCGGGGCGCCCAAAGCCCCCAGGACTGCCACAGGGCGACAGCCACCACCGCCAGCGCCGTGACCCCAAAGAGCGGCGCCCAAGAGGGCTTCGACCTCGAAGAGGGGCTGGGCGCCTTAGCTAAGGCTCCTCGTGATCGATTGGTTTACCAATGGCAACCTGGAACCCCAAGTAGCCACTTCTTTCCAGCCACTTTACCCGCTAGTAGCCCATAACTTGGTCAAAGTAGCTGGAATATAAAGGCAACTGGGCATCTAGGAATGAGTCAATGAGATAAAATGGCCATGCAGAAGAAGAAAAAAAAGGGCCGGCAAAACCAGACATGTACCTACAGCCTTTGGGACGAGCATGGAAAGAAAAGCTGCAACATTGGTAACCTTGCGGAACTTTGACTATGGACCCAAACATCCAAAGGTCGGCTCTGGGCCCTAGGCAAACATCTCCGCTGCCTGCGGCTCAGCGCAATCGTTTGTGCGCCCTGAGGCATGTCCCGTGCCCCACCTTGTCAAGCGCGAGAGAAAAAATGGGAACCGCAAAATCAGAGGCTACTCAGAGGCGCACGGCTTATACTGCAGAAACGTCAGCACCGATCAGCTGAGTGAAAGCTCAACTGTTTCCAGCCACATGTGCATCTCCCCTTTCGCAGAAGCAAGAAATAAGGGGGGCCCAAAGAAAGGAAGCAGAACCGAGCCAAACAAACCATAGAGTGGCTGCATTCATTTAACAAAAGAAAAAAAAAAAAAAGAAAGAAAAAAAACACGAAAACACATGCTCAACAGCCCCCTGCTCCGCTCACTGCCCTTCGCCGAGGTGCAAGCGACCGGGTCGCAAAGTAAGGCAGCAGGATCCTGAGTCGATTGCAATGAACCTACACCACCCAGTACAGCTGTACAGTGGATCCAAGAGTTGGCAGGTTTGTCAAAGCCCTCCCCGGACCCGGATCCCTAAATCAACCGAAAGATGTGAGCTTCGCAGGTCCCAGAACTGGTGTGAAAGGTAGGCCCAAAGTCGTTTGAGATGGACCTGTTGTGCAAAATGCACGTGTTCCATCCACCCCCAAAGCAGCATTGCAGTCAAATCAAGTACAACAGTATGAGTTCTGAGGGCTTCAAACCATGCAGCGGCCCATGCTTGCGCACCAGCACAAAGCTCACCAACACCCCTGCAGTCCCGGCGTCGCATTGGTGAGGAACATCGCAGGCGCCCACCAGCTGACCACGTTCCGCTGCGGCCGATCCCAAAGCAGCAAGGGCAAAAACATGAAGGCGTAGGCCTCCTTGGTGCAAGGGCGGGCAACATTGCAAAACCATCCGGAAGCAACTGTCAACTGCAACTGTCTGTCCTACCAGTGCTATCCAAATCAGCTTGCTCAAGCACTACGTACCCTCTGCAGGGCACTTCAACGGCTGACAAAACGTCAGTCCCGCCGATGTGCCCTCCGCACTTGGTGCGGATTTCCAGCACCACGTGCTTTCTTGCCTTGAGTTGTGTTGCGCCAATGCTGAGTGGAAACTCAAACGGTTTAGTTACTTTGACAAAAACCTCCAACTCAGCTTGTTTCCCCAGCCCAAGGTTCCCCTACAAAGTCAGTCATCATTTCTTGCCGCTTAAGGCGTGCGCCTGGAAACTATCCAGCCCCACCCAAGAACTCCAGCCAAGGAGCTGCCAGGTTGAAAACTGCCTAAGAGACCGACTTGAAGGTAATGGACAAGAAATGTTCAAGGCGGCTACATTGGAATATCCAGTTGGGGCTCCAGGAGTGGCCAGTCGCGGGCAAACACGTGATATCAATCAAATGGTTGCTTGCGTGCTGTACCAGTCATCCGGCCATTCCATCCCAAGGAGACCTTTCCCGAACTGAGCAGGATTTTGGTGCCACTTTCCGTGGACTTCCAGCCTTGAGGTTTTTCCATGGGACTCAAACAGAAGCCCAAGATAAAAGGCGACAAATACTACGCTTGGCAGAATCTATTCTTCTGAGCATGACCGACGTGGCCCATCCAATCTGAGAACCAGGCAGGCCAAAGCTTACAAGCATGCCTCTTGCATCATGCTCCTAGGATTCCGATGGTTGGACATGGTCGGACACCAATCATCGAAGACTACACGACCCACTGCTGCATACTTGTGCCCACACACACACAAACCCGTGTACAGGTGACTGCTGTACGCAAGCCAAAGGCATCCCACATGGTCCGCACGGCCAACTCGAGGCTGAGGCGCCAAGCGCAGCGGATCCACCACGGGCAAAGGAAAGCCCAGGCTGCTGGGACTGGGAAGGCCCAAGTAGTCCAGGCCAGGCCAAATGTAGAAGAAATCCAAGGATTCCTCCTTGGCAATAAGGCAGAAGCGCAAACAAGAACGTGCGTTTTGGACCTAAGTGTCTGCAAAGGTTCAATTTGTTGGGAGTTTGTTGAAACTTGTGCCAGTCTTACCTTCGTCATATCGTCTGTGCATATTCGAGTCTGCTTTCTCATAGCCTTGTCAACCATTGTCCAACCTTCTTGCAACGGGTCGCACACTCCCAAGCCAACGACCCGCCAAATGAGCGATTGCGGGAAATTGCCCCTTCTGTGATACCCCTCAGCCATTCCCACCACACGAGTTCCGCTTGTCGCAGAACAACGCCCTGAAACCCCGCGTTAGTTTCGACAGCCACGGATGACTGCCCGACCCACCGAAAGTTCTACCAGGCAGCAATCACATTGCGCAGGGTTGTTGCGTCGATGGCCCAGGCAGGGGGCCCCTCGAGGAAGGGAAACTGGCCCTGCGGGGACAGCAGAAGGATGTACCTGGGGTCGCAGCTTCTTGGAATGACACACATAAGGCTCCCACACATGGGGTCATGGCTGCGGTGCAGTGACTGCCATGTCAGGAATACAATGCATTTGGCCATCCAAAGCAGGAAGCGGCAACAGGATTGACTCGAGATCTGCATGCGGGTGAGATTCCCCTGCTTGGTTTGCAAACTTGACCACCCTCCCGCACAAACATAGAAGCACACACGAGGTCTGAGTGGAAGTTGTCTTTCAGCAGCAGCAGCGGCAGCAGCAGCGGCAGCAGCAGCGGCAGCAGCACACAAATATTTCGGAAGCATAGAAAAACATGCTGGGTCACACATCCTTGAAGCGCCTGTGATAAGCCTGTTAATTAGTTAATTACGTCCCAAGTACCTGCTGCTGAGTGACATGCTGCGCTATTGCAAGTGGGGATAAAAAGCACGCCACCGAGTAGTTCCCTCTGAGACTCTGGCTCACGAACCTCCACAAATGTTCAATCCGTCACCTCCACATGGTTTATTCAACAAGGCCCATGCAACATACTGACTCCCCAGTCGTCAGGTGCCGTGCTTGCCATGGTGCCAGTACAACGCCCCAGCAGTGGCAAACCCCAGGAAGGCGATTGGCAGACCATCCTTGGAGGCCCTGGCCAAGGCGCTCGGAACCGAACATGGCGTCATTGGCACATGGCCGTGCACGGCTACGCGTAAAATGCCCAGATAAAAATCGCTGACAACGCGACAAGGGGAAGGACGCTGCGCAAAGATGGCATCTATTGGCGATATTTGGCACCGCAACTACTTTCGGCACCATGCCTTCGATTGCAGGATGCCTTTGTGTGCGTGCAAAACTGATTCATACTTCCAGGGACCCAAGCGGCATGCAGAAGTCTGTCTTAGGCATTGTGGACACTGCCTAGTCCGGTACAGCAGGATGGCCGCTAATTGGCTAATTGAGTCACTGGCTGTGGGCCACATGAGCCACACGCAGAACACGCAGAACAACAACAGATCAAAGTTGACAAGGAGCGGCAAAGACCAACAAACCGATGCCGCAAACCACATCAAGGACTTGCGTGTTTTGCAACCAAGTGCATGATCCCAAGTGCTAGGAACGCGACATCTTGGCGACCGATAAACCTCCTAAAAGTCTAGCATTCCAGCGAAACAATCAACGCAGGCCCGACATGGACCAGAAGAGTTGCAAATCCGCAAAACCCCAAATTGAAAGCCAGTGCAAGAGGAGTTCCCTCCTGTCCTGGCACCTGACTCTGAATACAGTTCCTTTAAAATGGACCTCTGGATACCTCTGGTTCCATGCTGGTGGAGGGTAACACAAAAATTGAGCCTTAGAACCGGAAACCTCGCTGGCGCCTCACGAGGCCGGCGAGGAAGCCCACGATGCCCAGCGCGGCGCCGCCGAGCTTCAGCGGGGACTCGACGATGTCCCGGGCGTAGAGCAGCTTGCCATTCCGGGTCCTCCAGCTTTGCACGGAGTCGAAAATGGACCGAGAAGAAATGAAAAGGCAAGGAGGAAATGAGAAGAATTGAAAAGAGAAGTCGCAAGGAAGAAGGTGGGTCACCCTCCTTGCCCTGCCATGTCCAGGAAATCCCTTCAGAATGAATCGGCAAAGGGCCCAGGAGCACCGAGCAATCTCGCTAAGAAGCATAATAGTATCATGGGAAAATACCGATGGTGTCACACAAGTAGCGGGTGTTGCCACGCCCACGCACAGGATGCAAGCTTGCCTTCTTGTTGCTTGGAGGTGGCGTTTGTTTCAGTGCTTTGGGCGTTTAGTTCTTCCAGCCTTTCTTTCTGCATGCCTTGCAAGGCCAGGTTCATGAAGCGTGCGTCTTTACGTCCATACTGGCTTCATCACAAATTCACCTGGGACACATTGCGACACTCTCACCTTGACTTGGATGACAGTGGCCGAAGGATGCAAACAGAAACAAACCAAACCATGACAATACAATGGCAATTGGCCGATCATGCGGCATGCCAACGAAGACACATTGTCTTGCCTCTCAAGTCAGCCACTCGCAAGGCAAGGCTGTTGCGTGCGAATGCAAGAAGCCCTCACCCAGCGCTTGGTGCCCTTTTGGTCCCCCTTTCTGAAGCCACCCCAGCCCAAAGTGCTCCACCCAAATGCGGTCTGAGAGTCTTGTACAGGGAGGCTCCGCGGCTGTTGGGCAGTTCCACACCATCAAACTCCACATGCCTCGCCACCAAACATGGACACCGTCATGTTGAATTTCCCGTGGGCATCTGCAGAAGCTTCCGTGAAACAAACACCCCCATTGGCTCATGAAGCGAAACTGCACCTCATACTTCAAATGATATTGACCCATGCCAAAGCTATATGCTCACTGGCACTTGTATTCTGACCATTGCTGTTGACCATACTAGTAGGAACCAACACCCATCCTAACTACTGCAAAACAAAAGCTGGGGAGTGCCTCCCCTGGATTGCTCCCATTTGTTTGCCTTTCGCAATCAACAAGAGTTCGTCGGGAACCCTCAAACCACATGTGTATATCATGTGTATATGTGTGCATATGTTTCTACAAAATAGTATCATTTTGATCATGCCAAAATTCTGACAGCTGGCCTTGCCGGTCGGTAATGATGGAAGGGATTGCAGGCCGATCGAAGCCATAAGCCCCAGAACTTACCCTTGACAAGCGAAGGCGCCGATCTCACAGGTGCAGTTCAGTGCCGTTTGAAGCAAGCAACTTGCCAGCGCCAACCCACAACTAATGGATGTTGAGGGTTTCGCTGGTCTGTCTCGGTGATCGTTTGGCATGGCCAAACAGCACAGTTTTCTTTGTGAGGTAAAAGAAGTAGTCAACAGCAATGTTGGTCTATCGAATCGGTCAAGAAACAGCATTGCTTGAGAATCTTGGTAAACAGAACAAATGCAAAACCACATCGAGAAACCATTCGCAAAGGCCGAGATGCCATGTCATGCCCACGGCATCATCACCGAAGAGGGAATCCTCAGGATGAATGCACCGCACGACTGGGCCACATCGCTTCCGGATTGGGCGAGGTGTGGGGAGGGTGCTTACCCACAAGCGGTCTCCCAATCTGCACATCTGATGCGAAAATGTGCCAAAACACGGCCGCCAAGATCATGAGATGAACTTTCTGAATTCGCTTTCCCTCCAACCGTCAAACAAATGGGGCACCCTTTCAAACAAGCACTTGCCATCTTTTGCTTTCAAACCCCAAAAAAGGACACCCTCCAAAAACCACACACCACACCACTTAGATTGGTTTCCCCTACACATCGTAACGTTGACCCTTATTGCTCAACCCCTGTTTATTCCTAGGGGGTTGTCCCTGGGTTTAGTGAGGAATCATCACTGTTGGAGGAACCCCCCCCATTCATAAACATTGCGTGGTTGACGTTGGAAGGGAGCAAACATTTAGTTGTTTAGAAGTTAAGTGGGGATTTCCGTCTAAACCACAACAAGCAAAAATGCAAAATGTGTCCCAACAACAACCGTGATTCCCGCTCACCCGCCCAGGTGGTACCCTACCGCCGGTGGAGGAGAGGCGCTCCGCCCGCGACCTCGTCGATGACGAAGTCCAGGCCCTTGGGCAGCTCCATGGCCTCGGGGCCGAAAACGCGCCGATGTTGGCGATAAAAATGCACTCTCCGAAGGAGGAAACAGGAGCTGCTTCCAATACTCTCCATCTAGATGCTGCAATATATATATATATATATATATTATGCATTTACGTAATTATAGATACTAGAACATATGTATGTATATATATATATATATATATATGAATAGATGAAATTTTGATGATACACGTGCATATATGCATATACAGATAGATAGAGTGCTTTATTTGCTTTACCGCGTTGGCTGACCGAACCCCTGGCCTCTGAGAGGAGCTCCCGCACGCCCTGGCGCCCCCGGAAGGGCTCCTGGCCAAGCTCGCAACCCATTCACTCCACCAGGGTGCAAGATGCCCCCTACCTTAGGCGGAGGGGGGTGGGGGTCCCCAATTCCATTTCTTTACTCTTCCCCCACAAAAGGGAAAATGGCGCCATAAATGGAATTCTAGGGGTCACCCACCTCCCCCAATTCCATTCTGAAGGGGGTGGGGATGGTGCAGGTACCCAAACCCAAATTGGTCGGTTGGGGTGGGGCATTCCCGAACTCAAACCCAGTTGCACCCCCTTCCGCAGAAAACAGCAGCATAAAACTGAGGTGCTTTCTGCCTTGCTCGTACGACGCCTCTTTGTGAATTGGGACTATTCCCCATTACACTTGCCCAAGTCACCTTCAGTAAAGGAAACCCTCAAGGGTTGCTGGCACCCTGCCCCAAATGCAAATGCTACATGCCTCGCCTTGCCCATTGCCTCACCTCGCAAATGCTACCCTCGCACGCGGAGCGGCTCTCCAGTCCTGGAAGGTGAAGTCCTCATAGACCACCTCATCGTCCAGCATGTCCAGGGCAGTCTCCAGCTGGCGGTCGTTCACCGCGGCGTAGAAGGACTCCATCACCTCCACAGGACACTTTCTGAGCGTCTGCAACGCGGAGGCCATGCGATGGTGGCACACTTCCGCCAAACACAGGCCGCAACATCCCAAACGGAATCCAGCTCAAGCAGGAGACCCTCGCGTTTGGCGTCCAAACCACAGCGCTGCCAATCCCTTCAAACAAGTTGCACTCCTGGCTCCCTCCCGCGCCACTGACGCGCGTCTTGGCGTCGGCCCAGTCCCGCAGAAGAGAAGCGCCGGGAGGGCCAAGGCGCAAACCCCGCAAGCCGTGCCGCGTCGGGGCCACATGACGCTGCTGGATAACTTGAAAATAGTGTAAAGCAAAATGTCGAAGCAAACCTCGTGGAAAGATGCAAGCTTTGCTGTTCACTGCTTGGCAAGGAACAAAAACAAACGTGCTGCTTGGCTCAGTTGAACAGTGCAACTTATCTCTCTGGGTGAGCATGGCTTGGGGTTTGCATGGGAGTCAGCAAAACAAACAGCAATGCATCTGTATGCTATTTGAACATCATATCTGATTATCTCAATTCTGTTCACTGCCTGCTCAACATGTGTGCTTCAGGATATGGCCTGTCGCTTGCTGCATGCGTTGAAATTGCATAGCTTCTTTGTCCCAAGCTGCCGACACCAGGGGACAGCAATGAATCGTGCGCGCAGAGCGCGGATGAACCACCTGCTCAAGCTAAATGCCCAAGACTATTTCGAAACTTGCTCAGATCGATACTCTTTCACCACTTATGTGTGCCCTCACGGACCGCATCGCAATATTAACGCACAAGTCCCACCCATGGGAGTGGGGGGAGGGGGTGTGAGCAAGGCGCTTACCCGCGGTCTGAGCAGCGCACAGCGACCATGCCTTCTTGCAAAGCCTTGGCGCATGCCATGTGGTACAGTGATGAATCATGATGAAAGAAGGGCCTACAAGCGAACTTATCTAGCTCAGCACGGAATGCCAAGGGCGGTGCAACCACTCAAAACGCAACAAAAGCATTGAGTGATTGGCTTCTGCACCAAGAGCTGTGAGGCAGTTCCATCTTGCCCGTCCCTCCTTTGAACCCGCTACCCAGATGGCCATATGACCTGTGGTGCAGGTTTGACATTCGGCAAGCTGCCATCAATCATGGATGCCACTCGAGCTCGATTCCGCCCGTTTGGCAGCTCTAGTTGGCGCCCTTCAGTTAGGACACGCTTTCTCAACCCCGAGTGCGGTTTGGGGCAGTGGCGCCAGGCAAGTCCAGAACTTCCTGGCGGCAAAATGCCGACCCCCAAAGCAACTGGATCTTACAGGCCGCCCAGACCCATTGATTGTGGTTCCAAAATCACGACAAGCACGACAATCACGTTCTGAACGGGGTTCATGCGGTTTTGCCCGACATAATCCAAAATAGAACCCCCCCCTGCGTTCAACATACAGCCCGTGCCTTGTGTTCGAAAACAAGCTGCTCCTCGTCTTGCCAGCCAGGTGCCGTTGGAAACTGGGCCGCGGGCCGATCAAGGCCAGGAAAATCAGAACCAAGCGAAACATTTTGATCACATACTCTAATAGGCTAGCTGTTGGCTGTTTCTGCCGGATCGCTGTCGTGCGTTCTTGTTGCCGAAAAAAACCTCAACATGGGGACGCGAATTGAAGCCGTGAATCGAACAGAATCGAACATATATGGATATTAATTTTGATTGGGGACAATCATATAGGTGGAGATTTATGTCCATCAACCACTTCTCAGGGGGTTCCCATGAAAATTCACAGCCATATTGCAGAAAGAGGTCAGGCTCCCGTTTTCAGGAGTTTTCCACGCCCTGGCTCAGGCTTCAGCCACTGGCAAGTGCACGGATGCCTCAGCACATCAGTGCCCGGGACTGGGCTTCTTTGGGTTGAATTTAGGTCGGTGGGTTGCGTTAAATGATGTTTCGGATTGTGTTAGGGCGAGAGCTGCATACTGCCGGCCTCAGGAAAATGCGCAAACCACCACAAACCAACAATCACCTGGCAGGCGTTGTGAACACAGGCCATGGCTGTATCGTCGCAGCCCGGCCTGGTCAGTTGGCTGCCCCATCTGCCCAAGCCGTGCAAGCCGCACAACGCAGTACCTGGAAAAGCGCCGTTGGCTCCCCGAATGCCAAACAACACTTGGCCATTCACTACTGCTGCTTGTTGCGGCTGCTGGTTCTTCCTGTTGCTGCGAAGAAAAATGTTCGCCCCAGAATCGTTCAATTGGCCCAGTAGGGTGCATGGTCGAAATAACAGTGGCATGATGGCATGGCGAGATGCATTAGCGTTGCAGTTGCGGCGCGGTTGCTGCTGGACTTGATGCGCACTGATGATGCATGCCGGTTTCCGTGCCGCTTCTGAATGAACTTGGCACGGCCAAACACCCACCGCCGGCAATCCGCAAACCCTTGAAAATGCGTCCACCAGAGCAGTGGGCACGCGTCGCAGAGTCCAGAAGATTCACCTTGGCATCAGGTCAGGCGCTGGTGAAACCAAACGACCCCAACCTAGACACACATAAGCCCCATGCCATCAGTGCTTCCCAAAGCAGGCCAAGTCAGCCCCCGGGCAAATCCGCACATCTCTGGCACATTTCAGGGCAAACCAAGGGGCACTGAGAAACTTCAAATATTTTAGGGAGAAGTCACATGCGCAAGCGAGCTCTCCTTGGTATTCCCTACCTACACAGGCTCAGCCCATGAGATGGCTTGACGCTGAGGGAAAGCACAACAATCCCTGCTTGGCAGCAACCGTTCCCTCCCCTGCCCGCCACACTTGACTTCCCTTGACGTTGCATATGGATTATTCATGTGCTTATTTTCACTTATCACGGTTTAGTAGATTGGATTGCCAGCATAGGTGTTCATAACGTGAAACTATGTCGGCTTCAGCATTGACAATATAATGTTACATCAGCATTCTGGTGTATATTTCATAATTACGTATTAAGCACAAGTTGTTCCATGCTGTTACACGTTATTTTCAGTCTTTTCAGCCCCCCGCCCCACGGGCCATGCCCGGCTGCATTTTTCCGCGCCAAGCCACGGCCCGGCAACTTCTCCGCGCTCAGCACATTCACGATCAGCTGCTCCTGCGGTCGGGCTGCCTGACTTTCGGTCTATGGAAGCTGAAGACCACTGTAGAGGATGCGGCTCCAAGAAGGGGACCTATTTTTTGGTGGGGGAGCACTTGGAATGGGGTTGCAGGGTACCGTAAACCCAAGTCAAATCGGGGCACACTGTGTGCAATGATTTGACATTTTTTACAACTCCTCTGGAGTGATCAAATTAATTTGCCTGGAAGACTAGCAACATAAAGGTCACAGCTCGATGGCGGCCCACTACTTTTGCGCGGTCCAACAGCCATTCTTGCAACTGTGGCATGGTCAATATGTAAATATTGTGTCCCTCCGTATCATTGTGGGATGTTGGCAAGCAGGGCGCAATCAAACAGTGGAAGCCTGGGCTATGGAACGCCCTGAGTTTGAATAATGTGGCGCGGAGTCGCCGAACTATTAAAGCGCTGTCTCCTTGATCCAACCAGATTGAATCGCCCCCCCCCCCATCATTGAGCATCATTAAGAACAGGGAGAGACCCCAGCGTGCCCTGGGGATGCTCCGGCTCATTGGACTTGAGGCCCTGCCAATGTGCCTAGTTGTGACGCAAAAACAACACGGTCATTGAGTCATGCAGCTCAGTATGGCATCAACCGTGTTCACTGATTTGGCACGCATAGTGATTGGAGCATTTCTGGTGACAGCTGAAATCCTTCAGCCCCACTAAGTCTATTTCATGCCAGCTTTGCGTGCGAGGCTGGCCACATGCGTCCATCTCCTTGTCGGTGCGCCCGAAGCTAACGCTCACCTTGCCTTCATTGGAAGGCCTCAGCCCCCAGTCCCTTTCCTCCCCTTCCGCTGGGGGAATGCTTGGAAGGAGTTCGCCATCTGCGTCTACCGGGATTGCAGCGCCTCAAAACGTTGCCTCTTACTTGCCTCCTATTGCCTGCACTGGTAGGGTAATTACTTAAATGACATGAGCTTCATGCAAAACAACAAATTGAACCCATGGGCCGCTGCACAAAACTTTGATATCTTCACAACTGGCGGAATGTCATTGAACGCAAACTGAGCCCCGCACTTCAGCTCCACGAACTGCGAGGCAGAGAAACCGGAGCGACCGTGCGAGGCCTGGCCGTGTTTGTCTGCGGGAGTGTCGGCATTCCTTTCTCCTGCATCCGGTGGGCTTGGCCATGTTGCGCTATCAGTCAAAGGCAGTTAGTTGTCTTGTATATTTGACTATACCTCCGTACCCACAACGTGCCAGTGCCCGAAGAAGCCATGGATGAAAGCTGTCAAATAAGGTGGAGGTGGTTGTCGAGGAAAATGCTCTGAGAACAGGTCCTGCGGCTACAGCTGGGAACAAACTCCTGAACTGGCCGAAGCAAGCTGGCCGTGTCTGCTGAACTCCAAGAATTCAACAGTTGCAATCGGCCTGGTCAATGTCTCCTCTACTCACCTGGTAGCACCTATCTCCCTCGATCAAGCCCGCGGCAAAAGCTCGGCCTCCCAAGCAGTGAAAAAGGGCAGGTGCCCACCTGAGATTCGCACTGGGCACTCAGTTTCAACATAGCGTGTCTAGCAAGCAACGACATCCCCCAGTTGAGGTTCTTGAGTGCTAGCCGGTCAGGTAGGGCCCTCAGCGCAGGAAGTTGTAGCAACACCATGTGTAAAGTTGCAAGAAGACATGGCACTTTCAACCAGCCTTGACATCCCTTTCAGGTCAAAAACCAAGGAGGCATCGTGCTCCCTGCTATGCAGCAAAGGGAGCTTAGTCATCTCCCAATTGTTGCGTGGACTGCTGCACTCTTGCCCTACGATGGAAAGCAACGCTAGCTGGGTGAAGCATTGTTGCTACGGTGTAGCAAACGCCGAGGCTCAGCTGTTGCACAATCCTGACTGTCACAATAACCCTGTTCAAGTTTCTTCCAATTGCCCGACAGGAATTTGCTGAACCTTGCCAATCAAATTGAAGACAGGAGCAAATGCACGACCAAATGCATAATCATTCAGGAAACGCTGCGCACTTCGCATAGTGCAAGTGCACATGCCCTACCTTCAATTTGTCCATATCAATGCATGTTGCATATACAAATATATATATATATGCTAAAGGTCTACATGCGTTTGACAATAGATAACCAGGAAAGGTATCTAGTCACATCTGTTCCAAAAAGCATTCAGAGATTTGAGCCCCTCCACTTCATGGAGCGAAGTGTAGAAACTGGGGGAGTGAGCCATCTTGCCGAATCCTAAAGCCGCCAGCTTCAGAGATTTGGGTGTTTCCTCGTCGAGGTGCGGCACATAAAGCGATCCTTGCCGGTGACCACATCACCTGGGCCGACCCAACCCAGGTGCCTGCACAACCCCGAGTAAGGGGCTCTCCTTTAAGGCAGATTCCTGCTGCTTGGAGAACATCATCTGACATAAAAGACCAGGGGTTGGTGAACTAGGCGGTTCCATCAGGTAAACCGCTCCAGGAAAACGGCATCAATACCATGATGCTGGGCCCGCTTTGGCTTAGCAGAGGCTGACATGACCATCAACCCCGAGCTTGGAATGTTTGAACTTGACCCATTGGTGGCCTTCGTCATCCTTTTCGAATGAGAATGGATAGGCTACAGTATCCCGTGCAGCCGCCACCCTTCGAGAAGAAGAAGAAGAAGACGTGTCCAAGCCGCGGTGGGTCCAATGGGCCAAGGGGTGTCATTTGTCATGACAACATGTGACAGCCGCTGTGAACAAAGCAGGCTTCAGGCGCACATTGACGCTCTTCCAGTGTTTCCAATTCATCTTCTCTGCGCCAGGCCGCCCTTTGCACGAGGCCGCCCTTCCTAGAGAAGGGCGCGAACAAGCCCGAGGGTGCCTGTGAGATGGCAGCGTGGCTTTCGAACCATGGCCCTGCTGATGTTGAGCAAATGCTTGCTTGTTGTTGGTTGCGCCCCCCCCAAAAAAAAAACCACTGCATGCTAGACATGTACACTTACAGTACCCTTTGTTGAATGATATGGATCCGAAGAATCTAAGCGGGGGGGGGGTACAAGAATAACGACTTCTGGAATGGCGCAACCCACCGGCTTCCTTCAATTCAATGTCTGGCGCGTCCATGCGAGCTCCACGCTTGCGCACCTGATAACCCGCTTCACACTATCAAGGGAGCCTTAGACAGAGGAGTTTGCATCACAATGTGTCCCCCCAGTGGGAACCACGCGGTCATAGACGTCGATGCACACGACGAGATCTGCGTTGGGGCTCCTTCGGGAGTCTCTGCTGACGCACGGAATCCTCAACCTGTTGATTTCGCGCCAACGCCACACTGACGCATTCTTCCTCTTAATGTGAACTATCATTAAGTTATCCCCTTCGCCGACCCCCGTCGCGGACCCTGATGTACCGGGGTGCTCCTCAAAAAAATATGTGTTGTCACTTTGCATTGGATTGAGATGCAATTTCTACTTGAGTAATTAATGTGTTTGCAAATTGCGCCTTTGAATTGCAAAGCGCAAAGTAGAAAATGCCCTGCGCAATTCTGCGTGCATCATCTGTGCAACACATCACGATGCTGATGGCTGTTGTGCCCAACAAAAGGGTCGCAAAATCTGGGCTCGGCGCGGATATGTCAGTACATCTCGGAATGTCTATCATGACGGGGTACGTATATTTATCAAATCGATGGATTGTGACTGTCACATACAAGAGCAATGCTGAAAGGAACAACCACCGTCGCGGAATGAGCTCCAAAAGCTACACACATATTGTGACCACAATCGAATCACTGCTAAGTTCCAACAAATACACAAGTGGCACGCGTACACGGTAAAGTGCGGGTCCATTTAAAGCTTTGAAGGGAAACCTCCTCCTCTTCGAGCTGCGAAAGGCTCACAATCATAGGTGACCTTTCTGAAAAATAGATGGCCCCACCGAAGCTTCCAACGAAACACAAGCCACATGCATTCACCCTCGCCCTTTGCGCGATACAAGGCGGGCTTTGGCAGTACTTTCGGAAACAACAAAAGCCTTGCGAGACCGCCAGGCGACAAAGGCAGCTGGCTGCCATATGCAAGTGCCAAACCACATCTATGTCGCCTGACATGGCGAGTGAAAACTGGGTGAAACTGGGTGAAACTGCGACCTTGGCAAGATGACAGGACCATCTTTCACTGGCCATGGGTCCCTACATACATGCTGCCCGCACAACTTGCACAACTCGCAGATTGTAAATTTGCACCTTGCTCCCAGCGTCTCAGTGCTTTTTCGCGTGGATGTCGGGCAAAGAGACCTGGAACGGAGGATAGCATCGCCAATATACAAGTCCAACTTGCTCCCAGCATGGTTGACAGGCATTAATCCCGCTGAACATGTGTTGCACCAAACGGTCCCAAAGTTAGATTCACAAGTACTCAGACTTTCAGGCAACGTTCTTTGCAATTTCCACTCAAATGACAATTGAAAAGGCAGTTGCCCATGAGGTGCCACCATACCTCCCAGCTACAACTCCAATGCTCAGGACTGGCAAACCTGAAATGAGACTTCCCCCAACCACTACCATTCGATAGGTTGCTCTCGCAAAGGTGAAGTTGCCGCACTGGGACACATGTTGATGCGGCAGCGGCAATCACGGCAAGCCTGTGTTAGCAAATGAGAGTCACTTCATAGGCAAGACTGTTACAGCCAGCCCTTGACGCCACGCTCCATGGGCACGTGCCCATGACGTCATGGCACTCACTTGCATCCGACGGTTGCACTGGAAGTGCGGAATATTGGCATGACATTCCTGATTGATAGTGCCAATCATCTGCGCTTGGGTCTGAATTTGAGTTGACATTCGAATATGTCAATAAGATAATGCATCGATGCCTGTATGATTCACTCATTCGAATATGTCGATTGCTGGCAAAGTTGCTGATCCACTCATCGTGTTGACCTCGGGCAGCACCATGCACATCAGCGCACATCAGCTCACTAGTCGCACTAGTCATGGACATGCCCGCGTCAAGCAGCCAAAGATGCAATATCCTACTTAAGCCAACATGTAGCGATAGGTGGCACCGCGAAGTCTCCGTAAGGCCGAGAAAACACAAACGCGAAATTCTGGCTGGAAACAGTGTTTGGATCTTCTGTTCCCTCTTGTGGCACTGGAAGAGCAAATTGAGGCAAATTTAGCGCGTGAACAAATATACCTCCCAGCCAGGCTGCTTCTGCCTTTGCTCTCCGCTTCTCGCGCCCCGAGGAGTCGTTGTCCGCCACGTCTTTGAGACCTGGCGATGGGAACTGCACAATTCCAACTCGCCGGAAGAAAGGGGGCTGACAAGATCCACGCCCCTAGATGTTGACAGGGATCCAAAGGAATGACATACGATAACATACGCGTCCATGAAAGTTCAGGCATGCCCTTTCATGTGAACGACAGCCAGGGGCGGATGTCCAAAAAGGCCAGGACTCCAGAAGGAGCCGTGTCGACAGAACCTTTTGAGTTCCTGGCCTGAGTCCAACTCTTCCGCGAAAGTCTTGAACAAGAGCTGCACGCTGGAGAGCTGCTTCCTCTTAGCATCAATCTTCACAGAGTAGAATCTGTCCTCGGTGGAAGGCCAGAATGCATGCTTGTAAGTTCCGCCTTTCTGTTTCGGAGGGCTAGCGCAGTGACTTTGAAGCGGCTGATCCGAATCTGGCAGGTGCAATGACATGGCGTGCCCTTTTCAGAACCAAAGCAGTCTCGTGTTGGCCCCGCGAGTGCTTTGCTGCGTCCAAGCTTCTAGTCTGCTGGTCTTTCCTTCGGCATTCCATACCATCCAGCATTGGTACCTCAAATGCCCAAGGCTCGCGCCGTGAAACAAATACTGAGCTTCTGGTGGTTTGGATTGACACGACAATAAAGTTGATGTGGACGATGGTTCGGGTTCACTTGGAAGATACTTTCCCTACGACTCTAAGCGCATCATTCCTTTGCGAAATCTGTCGGGCATGCCCAAAAAACAGCCCGTTCGCACACAACCATCTCAGCAAATGCAATGCATGACCCATGCTGCGGATAGGGACCACAGAAGGGAGTGCCCTTGATTCCCAATCAATCGGCCTGTTCAACAGAAGTCAAGCTATCAAAACATCAATGAACTCACTGCAAAAGCAAACATTTCTTTACTAGAGCTTGCTGGAACAACGATTCGATACTATTGCCCACTGTGCCAAAGTCAATATGATAATATGTACATGTATTTTATATTGTACATCCACAAAACAGCCAGCCCGTTCAAAGGTGCAAGCCGAGAGGCATCAAGTTCATATCTATCTGATCACCGGTGCGGCCTGGCAAATGTAACAGCGCGAAAGCCAAGCAGGAGCATGTCTCATCACATTGCCATGTGCGCTAAAGGTCTCTATCGTTTTCAGGGCTTGTTTTTTGGCAGGGGCATTGTGCAACGGGATCTCTCTTTTTCTAATCAAAGGGAACACTGGAACAAATGAAACACTCTTGCTCCCGTCTTACGCATCGATGTGCTCACTAACGTCACGTCTACACGCGGCATGACCCATATTCATGGTGTTGGTGTCAATTCAAACGGCGAGAGCGGTGTACCATGTCACATTGTGCATTAGCCGAGACTTTACGCAATACACACACAACTACAGCACTCGACTCTGGTCATTGATGGCAAGCATCCTCTTGATACCTACCTGGCAGCTCGAAGTAAGGTTGTGGCCGTTCTTTACAGCCCCTAATCATTCCATTGAGAAAGCAGGCAAACTCCCGAGCTTTTGTTAACCCAGCGGCCAAGTCAAATTACAGAACTACTTGCCCAAAGCATGTCCAAACGCCTATAAGGTTCATAGAAAGTGTGCATAGTGTACGTGCTGTAATAAAGAAATATAAAAACAAGAAAGCGAATAAGCATGTGCATATGTGAAGATTGAAGCTGTTTAGATTTGGGTTCAAGTCCCCACAGCGATGGAATGAAGATAATTTATGAGGAAGCCCAAACCAACACCAATGACCCAGCTGCATGTTTCATCAGGACACGCAATGCAAGCCACCAGTCGGCACCACTCTGCAGCAACACGGTGCCAGCGGTGCTTGAGATGCTGGCCGCAATCTTCCGGTGGTTGCTCTTGACGTAAGCGAGCCTCGCGTCCCAACGCCAAACTGGGACACTCTGCGTCGTGGATTATTGTGTCATGTGCAGTTGGCTGTGGCTCTATGCTCTTGTGGGTGTAGCTGCTTGTAGCCTAGGACGGGCCATACGGGGGGTCATAACATGCCAGGCGCTGCCATGTCTGTCATGCCATCTAGGAACAGACGTAGATTGGCAGGTTTGGTGTGTTTCCGTGCGATGACGCCCCAGATCGGACGGTCCTCTCTCAAAAAAGGAACTTGCTCACGAGTAGAAATGCATTCCCATCATGATCCGGGGCATCACTCAAGCGAAGGCTTTCAGAGTGATAAGCTAAGGCCGGGGCTGATCATCCGTGCCATACACCTGCACAAGGTCCGACAATGCCGAGTCCCCTAAAAGCGTGCTGGCTTAATCGCACAGCCCTAGACAGCTCAGTATAGGTGGTTCATACTGTAGTCCTGCCATTTCTGTTTTTTTGCTTAAGACATAGTGATTGTTGCTAACCATCCATTCCGCGCCAAGCAGTTCATGGCTAGCACTAGGTTTGCCTTGTGGCACAGAGCAACATCGTCACCGGGAAAGCCGACGGCCAAAGTTGCTGACCCTCGCCGCCTCGCCTCGTCTTCCAGCTCGCGGAGTTGCTTGCCGCCGAAGGTGTAGTCATTCCTGAACTCCAAACTGGGCTGCCCTCAGATCCCCGCTAAAAGTGACTCACTAAAAGTGATGGTTAAATGAAAACTACCACTAAACACTGAAAAGGGGATGGCTAAGGGGATGGCTGGAAACTTAAGGGGATGGCTAAGGGGATGGTTAAGGGGATGGCTACACTTTACTGGAAACTTAAAGGCTAAAGAACCGGATGGCTGGGAGCCAAGCAAAGGATGAGCTGCTGAACTGTGGCAAACTCGGAGTGAGCAGCCAAGCAACAGGAACACAGCCAAACATGCAACACGAGCCGGGTACAAAAGCGACAGTGCATCCCAACCAAGGAAAAAATGCGAGCACAGGAGATTCAAAGCCATGACGTAGAACCCGGTTGCCCTGGCAGAACAAACAAGTTGGATCCTTTCTGGGGTTCATTCGATGAGGGCGTGAGTCCCGAACCCAAACCAGGGATTCGAACATGATGGATTCCACCTTGTTTGGCGTTAGAGAAGGCGAAACCCACCTAGCAAAAACACATAGAGACAAATTGGGTTGACCATTTTCAGAGGGCAACCCATCCACCAAAAACAACAGAGAAGAAGGGGTGGACTCTTCTAGGGGTACCTTCCCCATTCTTTCCAGGGATCCAAATCTTTCTAGAAAACCTCCTTTTGAAACCCAGGGAAAACCGGATCCGGTTTCGGGAAAGAACGATGGCTGAAAAGAGCTGGATGACCCTTCTGGCTGATTGTGGGCGAATTAGCAGCGGAACTCTGGGTGAAGTTGTTCGAAGGCGCCAGGCTGTGAAGGTCTGCTGCACCAGGCCCGTCTCGGTGCTCACCTCGCCAAAGCCGCGATGCAAAAAAAAGACTCGCGAGACACCAAGAAAAATGGGGCCCCAAAAAGGGGCCCCAACAAAGGGGCCCCTAGGTTTGAGGAACCTTCATTCGCATGAACATATCAAATGAGTTGTGAACGGGTGGCAAGTTCATCCTTTGCCTGATAATCATAGTGGGGAGAAGGCCTTGCTTTGGGTAGCCTTGCCACACCCACCTGTCCACTTTCATGATTGCGGAAAGAAAGGAGGGCAAGCCTCCAAGCAGTCACATGCAAAGCGCAACGAGCATGTCGCATACCACCTTACAGCTCGATTGGTTTCATAGTGGTTACGCTGATTCTCCTGGCGCCTGCAACGACTTGTGGTGAAGCTTCTTGTGAAGCCACTGGCTTGAAGTGTGCACTGGATCCGAGCCATAGGCGCAAAGCACCTAAATCGCTTTGCCTTTTCGCCCCAGTGGGTCACCAGGTTGACACGATTTGGAAGTATGAAGTAGAAGCACCACGGAGTGGACAAATGTGCCTGTGGGAGACTTTCGCGTTCTAGCAAAGTCCTTCTGCAGCAAGGCCGGTCGAATGCCCCGTGCTCGTTGTTCATTGTGGCGGATGTGTGTGTGAAAGAATGTCCTTGTATGGAGAGATAAACTTACAAATCCCTCATTTGGGGCGCAGAAATCGTACTAAAACCACCATATAGTTTGTGGAGGTATCCAGAAGAGGCTGATTTGGGCTTGGAGGCTGGAACACGCATGAACACGCTAAACATGTCCTCACAGGAGTTCAAACACATAACAACAAAGAAGCTTGCACCCAGCAATAATGATTCCGAAACAGCAAGCATGGTGGCAAGCAAGTCCCACGCTGGCCCCCTGTCAAGCCCTGGCCGCGCACCGACATCCGGTTCAAGACAATAACGGCATCTTCCTTCTTCTTCTCCATGTAGACCTGAAAGAAATTTGACGAACACGCAAAAAGCTGAGCCTCATGTTCTGAATTACACCTGCCATCTCGCCTGCAACAAGAACGCATGCAGCCCGCCCCATTTTGGCACGCATTGGCCCATTTTGGCCAGCTTGGGCTTTGCTTCCTCTGATGTGTCCTTCGCGAACTTATCCAATCAAGCAAGACTCGCCTTGAAGACAAGGCTTTGGCGTTGGAGGCTTGCAGTTGCTGAATGCATCACGCGCCATGGTAGCTTAATGCATCTCAATTATTGTCCAAACAAACATGAACGCCGACAAGAGGGCATTGAATGACTCCTGCACTGTGAAACACGGCCTGGCATTCAATGTGAAAAAGCATTACTGTATGGTGACGCTTGGCAGCAGTGCCCCAAGATTAGGAATGCCACCGAACAGATCGGACGCAAGTTCAGGGCCTTTGGTCAAACGTAGAATTCATAACTGGTGCGCCTTCATCTTCTGCTCGAACTGCTTCACAGAGTCCTCAAAGACCTTGTCTTTTTTGTAGCCCTCGCCGTACTGAACCTCAGTCAAGTCTGTGTCCAACTCGCGAAAAGTCGAAGTCGGTGGGCTTCATTGGCGAAAGGCGACTCTCAGGGCCCGACCCATGCTCCGAAGCACGCGGCGATGCTGGAACCCTGCTCATCCACAATCATGCGCGTCATCACCTGGCCATGGGTCAAAAGCCCGTACCTCCAGGGAACATCCCAATCCCCACTAAAATAGACTAAACTGGGTGGTGCACCTACCCCAAAATGGTATGATTGGGTTTGACCCACAGCACCTTGGCCACACAGCAACATCCACAGGAGTTTGATTGAAAAAGCGACTTGTAGGTGGTGGCATGTGTTCTGCTGTTGCTGCGTGATGGGATTCTGACCAAATCACAAGCAAGCAGCACCTGCTACGAGCCTTACCCCGCATTAAGCATGTGGCTCCAAGACGTACTTCACAAACCAAGGCTGACTTCAGGAACAAGGCAGTTCACTTCAGGTACATGGCTGGGATGGCAAAACGAGCTAGGCGCTGTAGAGTTTGACGAAACTGCCTTGGAAAAGAGCCCGACGCTGAAGTGCTACCACCAAGACATGCGGCTGTGGGTCAAAATTAGGTACCCAAAATGGAACCCTGGTAATGGAAACATGGACTAAAACCTGCGGTCCCCTGGTAGTTTAATTTTGACCCATACCCATGTCTAGGCTCAAAGCGATCGAGACGAGCCGTGTGGCCTTCTTCGCCCTTCCGCACATGTCCTTTGTGGCCCTGGCGAAGCGGGGCTGCCGGCTGCAAAAGCATTCAGCCAACTGAGGTCTTTGAGCCGTTGGCAAGCGGCACTTAAGAACTTGAATAAGTGGCAAACATCGTTCTTATGATGCGGGCGCGCTATGTCCACAAGCCATCTTGCGGCCGCTTTGCTGAAGATCTGCTTCTAAAGGATGCTTTACGAACACGAATCACGAAAAGAACACATTCACTTTGTTTGGCGTCAAATCTGGGCATCCTTCTTCATGATCAGGTACCGAAGGTTAGCTAGCCTTTCCTTTCAGACCCATCCAAAACGAGCCCCACCCCCCAGTGTCTCGAGACACATTCGTTAGCAAATCGTGTCAATCGTGGATAGGCCACTTGCTGATGGTCAGCTGCATGGTCTTCACCTTGTCCTCCGTCCAGGCCTCCGCCTGTCAGCTTCCCATAGCCTCGAAACCTCGTGAAGCAAAGCCCAAAGCCTCTCTCTGTTTGTGACCGCGCTCAAGGCTTTCAACTTGCTCATGGCTTGCTTCCTGTGCCCGGAGCATTTGGCTTGTCATGGAGCCTGACTGCAAACATGTGGTCAAGCCACACATCAGTCCGCATGAACGCACTGATCAAAGAGGTTGCCCTGACATATCTCGTTGCCCCCACCGGGCAAGGGAGCAATCTCCATTGACCTTCCTAAGGCGGGAAGAAAAATGGAATGCACCTTTCAAGGTTTCACAAGCCAAAACGACTCGCCACGCGGCATGGGTGAAAAACTATTCGCCTTCGGGCGCAATGAAACAAGCGCATGCTAGAGCATCATAGTGCGCGAATGTCGGTGCATCGCAGAAATGGACATCCATGAGCAGTAGCAGGTGCATACACACGACGCGAGGATGCCCCTCATGACTCGTCATCAGTCAGTCCCGGCTATGATTCAGGCTGCGCACAAAAGTGGGACAACTTGGATGCTACATCTTAAAAGTGAATAGACCGGAAGATCTGCGAGCACTGATCCGATGAGCCGCACTGAACATTCAGTGCCTTCACATTTTCTGGGGAATCAAAGCCAAGGATGAAAAATCATCCTCCAGTTCATCTCTGTTTTGATCCATGACACCCATGCACAAGTACCAGAAGTGCGCCTTGAAGCGAGTGATCTGGCTCTTCCAATCCGCCAGGGTGCTGGTCAACAGCTCCTCAGACTTGCCAATAACCACAGCGTGGGCAGTCTCCTTCTATGCTTCAAATGGTCAGCCAGCAGGAACACGAAGCAGCATTTCTGATTTGTTTTGCAAATTGTTGCAATGTTACAATCATTCAAAAACCTGAAATAAGGGATCTCTAAGTGAAGGACCTTTATCAGGGAGAGCTGGTTATATGCCCGAATCGGTGAGCTCGCCGTAATTTACGCAGAAGCATGTTCATCCTGTGTCCACAAATGACGTCAGACAACGACATGCAGCCCCTCCGGTCCTCTTCTTCTCGCCTGGCTGCCTGACAGACCACCCTCCTGATGTTCTCTAGGTGCCGCGCCTCTCCAAGGCATGTGTCGTGCGGGCTGTGGCTCGGAGCGGTGCTGAGAAGCAGAAGTTGGCAAGCCTTTCCAGACTTCGGGGATTGAAGGGTGCGGGTGCCAGGGAGATCCAGGATGTGGTCAATCAAAAATGGTTAGCCGACCTTCACCTTCCGGCTTACACTGTCGAGAAAAGGAGAGCTACTTGCAGCTTACACCCTTCAAGAAGAAAACGTGGTAGGGGCATATTCCCAGGTGCACACAGTTTTTTTCCTTGAGTACTATGGCTCTGGTGATTCCAGGATTATGACCAGACGGGCTCAGACGGGATAATTTTTAGCGGAACAAAACAACAACTCAAAAAACAACTCAGAAAAAAATCAGCCAAAAAACTCAACTGAAAACACAGACTCGAACAAAACACAAAAAATACACAGCAGGAGACTCAAAAAAACACACAGCAGGAGACTCAAAAAAAACAAAAATACACAGCAGGAGACTCAAAAAAAACAAGAAAAACACAGCAGGAGACTCAAACACAACAAACAAAAAAAACAGCAGGAGATTTGAGTTTTTTTGAGTTTTTGTTGAGTCTGTTTTGAGTTGTTTTTTGAGTTTTGTTTGAGTGTTTTTTGTGTTTTCTGCGGTTGTTTTTGCATTTTGCCCCTTCCCCACCCCCAGAACCCTCCCCAGACCCTGGCCAGGGGGTGCCGAGAAGTGGATGGGAATGGCCCCTACGCCTCTACAAGCCTCTGTTCGTGGTCGACTCTCCCAATTCGCCATTGCCGGCCTTGAAGCGCTCTAAGTAATCTGCCGCCTCCTCGCGTTGCTCACGGCATGTCAACACGCATCATGATATTGCCAGAAGCGTGTCAAAATAATCGATCTACTCGCCTGACAGGCCAGACCAGGAGACCGGAGACGCAGGTTCCACGGGTTTCCCTAGGGTGTGTTTTTTGGAGTGGAGATACCTACAGAACCACTACTTGAAATGCTCGGCTGTTTGATCTGTGCCCCTCGTTTCGTGCAAGCAGCAGCCACATGCAGCCATGGCTAAGCCGGAAATGCTTGGTTTCAGCTTGACAGAGCTAAAAACATAAGCAATCCGCAAACCGGTGCACAAGCTCATGAACATATTGGGACTTCACCAAAAAACAACACGCACATATCTGAATCATGGATAACAGGTTGCGGTGAGGTTGATTCTTGGCTGGGAAAAGCCTTCACTCACTGCCCCCACCAGCTCCTGCACCTCCTTGTCGTACCGTGCCCTGAGATTGCGCTCGCCCTGGCCACCAAAGCCGGGCAGTAAGCAATTGAACCGACCAATCCATTGACCTCATGGATGGGGTTAGCGAAAGCTATCGTCAGTGGAAACGCACAGCTCCAGTCTTTCCGATGAAATGATGAGTTCCTTTCCGTGTGGGTGATGGCAGGTTGCCCGCACGCATGCAAGCGTAGCGTCTTTGTGGAACGGAGCATGCTCACAAGCTTTCCACGAGCAGCGCATCTGATGCTCTCCCCCGAATCATAAACCGCCCTCCTTTAGAATGAAACACTTCTGGGGGGGTTTATTAGGGTCCCCGGGTTTCGGGCCACAACTGTTTCAGACTGTGTTGTTTAGTGCTGGCATCAAATGGCAATGGGGGAACCCTTTGATTTGCAGAAAAAGTGTTCAAAATACAGTTTCCGAGTAAGAGCTTTCAAAGGGAAGGCGCCCTTGATTTGTTTCAACAAGAAGCCTAATAATAAAACCCTGGTTATATTGTTAGAAAACCTGCTGAAAGAAACCCAATGGAGACCCTAACAGTAAAACCCTCGTCACGCTAGGCATCCCTTTGGTTTGAGGGAAAAAGCGCTCGGAATACAAATGTTGAGTCAGACCAGGGTGACTCCCAATAAGCACATCTGCAGAGCTTCACTGAGAGGATCTGGTTTGGGAGAGCTTAGTGGTTTTTAGCATTGGGTAATTAAGTTTTAGCAATTTGTGGGGTCGGCTGAGGGGGTTATTATTGTGGGAAGGCTTACTTATTAATAGGAAAAGGGATTACAAATTATTCGCCATAAAACTTCACACCAATCTTGAGCCAAATCCAACTGCGCCGGCTTCGGCATTGCCACGCCGCACGGAGCGGGAAAAAACACATGGCCGCCATGCAAGGATATATCAGCCGATCGTTTCCTTCAGGTGCAACATAAATAAATACTATATTTTGAGACCCGTACGGATGCAACATGTGCTGCTCCCGCCCCTGTCCGCTGACTGCACCACCATTCGGCTCACCCAATCCTGCTGACCCGCCAAGGCAGCAATGCATGAACATCACCAACCATCCATTTAACAAATGAAACAGTCCGCATCTCCATCATGCGTCTCGAGCCTTGCCAATAAAAGCTTCACGCCAACACCGGCCCTGTATTGGCTCCCCTGCCTTGGCTCTAAGCATGGTGCCCAGCCACACAGACCAGGCCTTGGCTCTGTGCAGCATCGAGCTTGGAAAGCACTCTACAAATCAACCACCTCACATCGACAAAGCCCTGCTGAATGCTGTGATGGAATGGTTGTCTGCGGGATCCCTGACATGTGATGGTGCTTTGGACGTCAGCTCTCTGCAAAACTGCCCTTGCTGTCCAAAAATAACAATTGCGAGGTCGGAAGAGATGTGAAGCAAGTCGGCCCAGGGCCTAGAGGGTCCACAAGCTGGATTAATCTCATCAATGATTATCATCTGTTTACGAGAGGGTATTATTCAATTCTTCAAATCCCCCCCCCCAATTTCGCAGGAGTACAACTCTACGTTCATGCCGAGTCATCAACAGTTCTTCGCCTGCAAAACACAAGCTCCAGCAGCCCATCGTGACATCCAACGGGCTTAGCTAAGGCCAGGGGCCGTCTGCTTCAGCGCCTGCTTGTTGGTGCCGATGAAACCCATCAAGGCCTTGGCCGCTTGGCCGCTTGGCATGGCGAAGGGCGAATGTTGCATGCAACATGTGGGGGGGGGGGGGGGTTGATCAAAATGGTCCTTTAATGTCCTTTACGTGGCAATTGGGGGCCGTGAGCAGCCACTATTTTCCCAAGCCTTGCTGAGTCTTCCAGGTAGTTAGCAACAAGAATAGGACCGCCAGAAACTCTCAAAAGGCAGAGTTTGCCATGGCCGCCCAAATTAACTCCCTTTGTTCAAGCTGCATGCAAACGGCGGCTGACCGTTCCTGGCCTGAAAGCTGAGGTACTTGGACCCTAAATACCCAGACTAGGACCAAGGAAGCAACGCCTGCGCAGCAACCCAAGCAATAAATAATCCTGAGACAATAACAGGTTGCAATGAATCAAACAGGGCTTCTTGAAGCCCTATAGGAACCTTGGTTGGACCAGGTATGCTTGAGGCTTCGCTGCTTCCCTGCTCTCCAGATTAGGTCGCCAGGCATGGATGGCCTTATCCGAGCGCTGGCCCGGCAGATCATTGAGCGTTGCCTGGCAGGCTACCCCGAGGTGGAGTTTTGCTCTTGCCCGCAGTATCTGGGTGTGGGTCAAAAATAGGTACTCAAAACGAACCCTGGTAAATGGAAACATGGACTACAACCTGCGGTCCCCTAGTGGTTTAATTTTGACCCACACCCATCTCATCAAGATGAGACTGGTGACTGGCCATTGTCTGCAGCTGCAGCTTTGCACCCGGCACCAGCGACAAACCATAGCAGGTCAACAAAAAGATATGACAAAACCTGGAAGGAGCCATTCTCTCAAGCACCACCATTCAAGACTTCAAGGGCCACGTCCCTGGGGACCTAAACGGGTGTCAAGCAGGGAGTCCGATATATATATATATATAACTTAACTTATCTTTTGCTTTTCGTTTCGGGAAACATATACCTTCCCCTTCCCTCCCCTTCCCCCATGAACACCCCACCTCCCGCACCTCCTCCCGCCTTAACCTCCATTTGCTTGAGCCCCCTGCAAAACATTAAAAACAAAAAAACATGTTTCCAGTGGTGATAAAAGCCCCTTTGAAACCAACAGGGGCAAATGACAAATATTCTTCACCAAATGGAAGCTAAGGAAAGCCCACGCCCAGCCGGAAAGCCCAACTCGAACCTCCACCACCAGCAGCCGCTTGTTGGACTCCTCCGCGATCTCCGCGGAGTTCGCCAGGCGATCCAAACGCGCGGCCATGGAGGGGCCCTCAGCGCCCAGCCCAGAAAAAGAAAAGAATCGTTGAAACCATGGGCTAGGTCCTCCAGTAGGGAGGTTAGAATAAGGGTACCCTTCTTCTGTAGTCTATTCTCGTAGGGGAACCCTACCCCAAAAAAGGTTAAAGGACGACACTACTGGGGGACCTAGTGGTCAGGGGGTTCTTTTTGCCACCTGTGGACAATTGATCGATCCCCTCGTAGTGAAGGATGCATTTTTTGAGGGGGTTGGCAATTTTCTCACAAAAGGTAGCAAAAGGACCCCCCTGATGGAAGGTTCATCCCTTGAAACCGCTCAAACAATGGCCAATCCCACTAAAATCGCTTAACCTTTCAAACAGGTTTCTAATCATGGAAGTGGACAAGGGCCTTCCCCTTCCAAACCCCTCCTCTCAGCTTCCGTGTTGGGAGGACTAGCCCTTGAAACTGGTTAAACTAAAATTGACTTCAATGGTTGGCCAATCCCTTACAGCACTGTAAACCTTCTTATACCATTTAGTAATTTAGAAGGTTCGGTAAGCCCCAGGACACTTAATTACTTGATTCTTGGTCAGGTGAGGTACTTTCATTCAGACTGCAAGCCCTGAACAGGAGTGCCTCGCATTTGTGGAAATAATGTACTTCGTCAGTCGATGGGCCGGCCTGGATACGATACATAAGAAGTGTTTGCAAACGTCGAACCGCCACGTGCCAAAGGCCATGATTTCCCCAGTGAGTGGGAGCCAACAAACAAAGGGAAGCAAAGGCCGACACCTCCCCGCGTTGACAACCGGCTGAAGGGCATAGACTGACAGCCACAGCTTTTCCTCAAGAATGTCGGTCCTACATTAAAACGTTGCCAGAAAGGCCACCTCCAATGCCTTTCATGTTTAGCAGGCTGACGAAAACGGACCTAGCTGTACACAAACCATGTTTCCATTTAAAATTAACTCTCAAGTCGTGGTCGAGAAAACGCACACACGGATAGCAAGGAACACTTTCCGCTTCAAGCCAAAGATGGGAACAGTGCCGAACTAGCCCTGAGACACACAAAGCACTCTTGAGGCACCGAAGCTCAATCCGTCATTGAGATACATTCGCAGAAGCCCATGTTGCGTGACCAGAGATGTTTAGAGAAACTGGGCAGGGCCATCATTTTCGGCAGGTTAGGTCGTGTTTCGCTCACAGAGCATCAGCTCGTCCACTCAAGTCACCCTGTCAGCTTGCCACACGTGGGTCTCAGTGGATGCCCGAACCGATACCCGTCCATGCAAAAGCTGCAGGAGGTCGAAGAGGAGCCAGACGAGGCCAGAAAGGGAGGGGGCAAGTGGCTGTTTGGCACGGTTGTCTAGGGAGGTAGTGCAGTGTGATGATTTGTTGCGCTGTGGTTTGTGTTGATGTTCAACAACAACTTCACCATAGGTAGCAACTGAACTGGCGTCTTTGGCAGCGACTGGATGCTCAGCAATTTTGGAATTGAGCTCGACATACGAATAAACCCGCCCTCTTTCAATCCCGGTGATCGGCAATACATCTCGAACGCACTCTCAGGGGTCACGGGATTTCCCCTTCAAAAGTTGCCATGGCATTTTACTGGTGGCTTCCACTAAATCGCCACTTTTCGGAGGTTCCAAAAAGGCAAATGGAGGGAACCCTGACTCTCTCATAAACAAACATGAGGCCTGAATAAATCCCGTAGCAGCCAGCCAACTCAGTGCCGAGCCCAAGTCTCCTGGGCTGAATGGCTCGCATCTGGAAGCAACAAAACAAAGCAAACACACCCCTTCACAAACAAAACAAGAGTCAACACAAGAATGTTCAAAGACATCTACTCACAAATAACATGGTATAGATTTATACGTAGTGCGTGTACGCAAGCGAAGTAATTCACTGCTATGTTCGTGCGTCATGGATTGAATTTATGGTAGGAGAGTTGTCCAATCGCCCAACAGTGATATCAAAGCAAATCGTGATCACCCCGAGGTGGAATGGCGAGGGCGGAGCAATAAAGATCCAGTCCATGTTGATTTGGGCTGGCACATGGACTGGTTAGGAAGACTTGAGGTATCGCTCATGGTAAGCACGATGCCAATACATCACAATGAGCCCATCTCTGTGTTCTTGTTTCGCTTGTGTTATTTCATCATATTTCCTGCTTCGGATACCCCACGGCTACGTCAAAACATCACCAAAAAGTCAGCCCTTCGTCGCAGCTTCGCGACTTGTGCAGGCCATGCTCAAGCTTGCCACACGGAGGAAAGCGTTGCTTTCCTTTCCGTGCACGCAACATAAACCACTGTACTAGGCTGACTGGGTCTTCCTCCATATCGATCCTGATATCAAGGATTCCGGCGTTGAAGCTTCCCGGCATTGTGTAATGATTCATGGCACTGAACACACGGGCTCAGGTCAGCGGCAAAACTATGGCCAAACGTCGCGGAAATGCTTCTTGTTTTGGCTTTGTCAGGCCCACCGAAATACATTGCATTGACCTAGGGAAGAGAATCAAACGCCCCCCGTGCGGCATGCTCCTTGCAGCGCATGGTCTTGGCAGCCTCGCTGGACGCCTGCAGCAGCGTCCACGTGCAAATGGGACGGCTTTGACACCCTCCACACATGGACACGTATTAATGCATGCACCCTATTCATAAATACCGTGTGGTTCCCAAACACGCGGATGCCCAATACTACTTTTTGAATATGCCAAATCTGAGGCAGAACCTGTTTGGCTGACTAGCTGCCAAACCCGACCTGAGTGTTGCTAGGGGGCACTCCAGAACCGAAGCTTCCTGCAGTTCCTAACCCCCCTGCTGTCCTTTTCAAAGTTTGCCCTGCAACCAAACCAAAACCAAAAACACTGAGCTTTTCCGTTTGAAAGCTTGTACTACACCCTATATACAAAGCTACAACATATTACAACTTGGGCCCGTGTTCAAGGGATGAGTGCATTGCTTCTGGGGAGCCTATCTGACCCCTGACTATTGGATTCTTAAATATCGTTTGGACCCAAAGGATATTTATTAATCAGGGGGCCGTATTGAATTTATCAGCAGGGGAGGGATTGTGGGGAAGAGTCCTTCATTGGTGGTATATATCGCCGAGCGGGTGCGGGGGGCTCAACTTTGGAATTTCTGCCAGGCCAAGCATTTTTTTCAGCACTTGCGGGCCAAACAGCTGGGACAACTCGAGACCTCCAGGACTCCTAAAGAGCTGTGATAAATATCGACCGCTTCCTAAAGCAACCCTTCCCCTTGATAAAGCTACGGCAGAAGGCCAGACACCTTCCACTAGCTTCCACTCAGCACACCCGTCCTGCAAGATGGAGCGCTTCAAGGTCTGAAGGCCCAAGGCGGTGCTACTCTCCTCCTCCATGACCGCCTGACCGGACATCCAAGGGTTGCATGCGTCGAAGGGGACTCCCGAAATGGAGGGCTTCCTGGGCTGTGCCAACCAAAACACCCATACCCCACCTGAGACAAACGCATGCCCATTGCACACGGAGCTAGCAGCTTGGTGCATGTCAGTTGAAATCTGAAACAAGCTTCACGCAACTGACCCGAGTCTGCGTTGAGCTGCCTGCACATCCACTGGTTCCACTATTAGAAGAGTCCACTGGCCCCAAAAGACGGTTGTTTGACGGCAGTGCTATTCGAAAACTTGACACATCGTGGGCATCTCCGTGAAAGGCCCAATGCCCCCACCCTGCCTGGATGGGCCCAGCTTCTTCTGCGTCGATGGTTGTCCTAAAAGGCCACGAAACGCCAGCAACCAACCAATATGATTTGTGACCCGAAACAATTTCGGTCATGCTATGGGATGTATGTTTCACTCGGCGGTTCGGCAGAGTTTACGACATGTAACAAAGATAGAAAGGGGCGCATTCGATTGGCAGGAAAGGAGAGGAATCAAACTCCAGATGGTTCATGCAGCAAGCGCTGATTGCCCCACTGTGTGTGTCATTCTGTGCACTCGAATTGACCTCTGGCTCTGGGAAGCCCACCGGTCGCCCTTTGAACTGCCAGCCTCATGCGTGCCGCGTTGGTCACAACCAGCAGCAGCTCGAGGGTCAAGTTCTCGAAGCCGGTGCGCAGCCCTGGCACAGGGCTCTTCCCATGGCTTAGCCTATGAGTCATTTTGACCTGCTTTGTCCCACTCCCTCTCTCTCTCTCTCCCTCTATGGGATCATCAGTGAACAAATCATTAACCCAAAGGCTGATGTGGTTTGGCAGACGCATGAGCAGTAGCCAATGCCCAAGCGACTGCCTTCAGGCATGCGGTCCACCACTTCGTAGACCATGACCTCCTCCTGGCCATGTGATTCGCAAAGGCAATGAAGCTGGATTCCTGAACACCCTCGATCATCGTCCCTCTCGTTGGGCTTCTTTGGGCATAATTGAGTAGTCCGAGACCAGAAGATATCTGGCCAAATCTGGGAAAGGCTTCGGAGAAGGCACGCAGCCATGTCGCAGCGTGCTCTGATGCTCGTCTGATGCATGATCGCTCCTCAACTTGGGCCAGCTCACATATCCTCAGGCCAGCAAACTGCCCCAAACAACAAACTGCAAGCAACTTCCACAGCCACGGAGTCTGCACTTGTGCCTTTGGCCTGGGCTTTGCAGAACCTCCGCATCCCATGCCCATTCTCAAAAGACTGCCAAGTGCAGACAGCATTGCTCATGCCACCTGAAAGCAAATATATCTTTCCAACATGATGACAAAATGGAAAATGGTGCACCTCGGTGCAGTAGCTTGCCTCAACTAGGGAATGATGTGCTGAGCTGTGGATTGGATCGTGCTTCCTTGTTTGGCTGTCATCTTAAAGGCCTCCAACCCGTAAACACATCACTACTCAATACGCTCAATAGCTGCGGCCCTGCAAGTCCTTTGGAGACATGCCCAGTGCGGCGAAGCGTCTCTTCCGCCGAAAAGCGAATGCCGTTCATGGCCAGCGTGTGGAGGGCCATCTCGACCACCTGCCAAAAGTCCCATACCAAGGAAGAATTGGAGGTGAGAAACGCCCTCTTGACCACCCTGGGACATGCGTTGAGCAGGTGGCCGAAATAGAAACACGGCAAAGCCTCATCGGTCACTCTGAGACCTGTTCAATCGATGGGTTGCACTTGGAAGCCCTCAGTCCGCAGGGGAGAGGCCACAGCAATCACACCTGGTACGTGGATGCTCTACCTGTTGCGCAACGGTCTCGCCAAAGCTGAAGCGGGGTAGAATGCCTTTGTCTGTATGCATATTTAAAGGCATTTCATGGCATTCCCGAAGCACCCAGTCCTTGGAGAGTGCTTCTGGGATCACAACTTGCAACACCACTGAGACTTGCCGGTTGAAAGTGTGAGATCGAGTGCGCGACACGCAGCCCCCACCAGCTCTGCTTTTGACTCACCGCGCGGTCAGCGACCCATGCTGACAGTCCAATGTGCTTTGGCAATGGTCCAATTGCAGTACCGCTCATCCTTGATAGCCGTGTTGGCGTTGCATGTCAATGCCAGTGGAGTGGTTATCTCTACTCTGATGAGCACCACGCAATTCTTGCGGGATGGTGTGAGCTTGTCAGGCATGGCTACAACTCCAATTGTCCTTCAGCCAGTCTTAATTGACTCAAACATGCCAAAGCCACTGCTCCCAAAAGGAACCCCCATCTTCCTACTTCAACCTGGCTGAAGACTCCAACAGCAACTGATGTCCTCTTCACCCCCTCGCAAAGTCGACAAAGTGGATCCATGAACGGTTTGCAGGCATTCCATGTTGCATTGGACTGCCATAGCTCAGCTCATTCGCTCCGCTTGCGCGTCTGCCCGCATGCGCTCTTGGGCGCTGTGGACCAAGCTGTTGAACTCCTGGGCACTCATCTTGCCCTTGGTCTGGCAGGTGCTTCATGGGGTGGGTAACCGCCATCAGGTAGAAATAGATGTGGCATGGCAGGCCAAACGCATGAGAGGAACTGAAGTAGATAGTTTCAGGTGGAACAAAATACTATGTGAACGGGTATTCTTGAGCTTTTGAAGCAACAAACACCCAAAGTGTTTCACTGTTTGAATTCAACAATGAAAGAGGACATTTATTATCATGGGCTGCACCACGGGGCACCATTGAAGTGTCATGATGCCAGGGCGTAGTGTGGAATCGCCAAAAGGCCTAAGCAGCCAAGATGCTCGCATGAAGTAGCGATTTGATGCTGCCACAAACTCCGGATTGAGTTCCTTGGCATCACACGTCGTCCAGTGCATGATTCAACCCGTCATGTTCGAACCCCTTCCCGAGGCTGCATTAAACGACCTTCTTCCAAACGCACACATAGTCTCAAAGAAGCGATGGAAGCAACAAACAAACATGGGGAGGCGTGGGCACCGCACAACCATACCGCCCTCACATCAAGCAACGCTGTTGGCTGCCCGAGGCACGCCCATCAGCTCGAAGCGGGTCATGAACACTTGCCACCTCTCCTGGCCGCTTGCCAAGGTGAAGATTCAATTGAGACAACTGGGGTACCGTAGGCCAAGCCTAGCCCAGTAAAGGCGGACGCATGCGGACGCCCTGACGGCATAGAAGTTCCGCCCTGTAAGGGGTCCTGCCCGCGTTTTGGGAGGCTTGTGCTGGAAGTGAAAGGCCAGACAGTTGGATATGAAGCAATTCTGAGGGGGAGGGTGGAATCACCTTCAAGATCACATCAGCGATTTTACCGTGCACATGCCAGCATCGGGGGTGATCAACGCACAATCCATGGCACGCTATCCTTTCCCTTCTGCATTCCGGGCGGACCAACAGCTTATCCACAACAAAAAACATATTGGTACGTCCGTAGATGCGCATACACTTTTTGTGTACAGCCAGAATTGTACGTATATGTCTTAACCACTCGTCTGACGGCACCGCGTGGCCAAGCGAAGCCATGGCCTGGATCAGAGCCACTTGGTCAAGGAAGGCCTCCTTCCCCAACGGGTCGAAGGACCCGTACTTGTTGCCGAAGCCTCGGCTTTGCCGAGTAAACTCTGCCTCACGCAAAGAACCGAGCTGACTGTGCGAAGTTACATCGAGAGGTGTAGGTTTGCTGGCATAAGTTGCTGTGAAACACATGCCTGTCACACACACACATGCATGTGCAAATGTATATTAAGGTGTTTAAAAACAAACAGTGTATACATCTTTAAGTGTATATGCATTCCAGTTGTTAGCAGTTGCTTGCTTCCTCAGTCACCTGCAAGTGCAGCATGTATCCAACCTCTTGTGCCGGGAAACTACCAACTCAGGTTTATTCACAAACAAGCTCCCTTATATGGTTTTGGTCTTGGTAGGAAAGGAGGAACAGGCACCCACTTCGCAATAACTGGACAAAAAGGAGCCGAAAAGGAGGCTTGTAAAATGCTCAGACCTGGCTCATAGTCCGGCACCCCACAAGCAAAGGCCTGCAGGGTCATGAAGACTGGGCCTCGCGGCCAACCCCGCGTGCCAGCCAAGCTCACCAGCTGAGCAGCGGATGAGATTCTCATGATCCCTGGTCAGGGCAGAGAGCTCCTCTTGCACCAAGTCGCTCTTCAGGGCCTGAGGTCCAAGCCGGATTTCGCTCGCAAGGGTATCCTCTGGCCCGAGGCAAAGGGAAGTCACCGTCAAGCACGACTGCTCTGCCAGGCTGTCAGTGGGTCATGTTCCTGTGGCTAGATTGCTCAACTGCAAACGAACTGGCCTTACACCAATACAGACGCATGAGCATTCTGGCATGCCCATGTCAGTAAAGAGGCCAACGCGACAAACAGGCTTTTGTTTGACCACCCCCACTTCTACTTCCATGCCTGAGATGTCCACATGATGTTGGGCTTAAACAGGAGAACTTCCATATATTATGCGTTGCAGCTAGCACCATAAATTCTAGGCAGACAATGGCAGACACACAGACACACATTCGACGACACACGCACAGACACAGACACAAACACAGACACAGACACAGACACAGACACAGACACAGACACAGACACAGACACAGACACAGACACAGACACAGACACAGACAGAGACAGAGACAGAGACAGAGACAGAGACAGAGACAGAGACAGAGACACAGACAGAGACAGAGACAGAGACAGAGACAGAGACAGAGACAGAGACACAGACACAGACACAGACACAGACACAGACACAGACACAGACACAGACACAGACACAGACACAGACACAGACACAGACACACGCACACGCACACGCACACGCACACGCACACCCACACACACACACACAAACAAACACAGACACCCACACCCCCACACGCACACGCACACGCACACGCACACGCACACCCACCCACCCACCCACGCACGCACGCACGCACACACACACAGACACACACACACACACAGACACACACACACAGAGAGATACGCAAAGACACAGAGACACACAGAGACACAGAGAGACAAAGAGACACAGAGACACACAGAGAGACACAGAGAGACGCAGAGAGACACAAAGAGACACAGAGATACGCAGAGAGACGCAGAGAGACACAGAGAGACACAGAGAGACGCAGAGAGACGCAAAGAGACACAGAGAGACGCAGAGAGACACAGAGAGACACAGAGAGACGCAAAGAGACACAGAGAGACTCAGAGACACGCAAAGAGACACAGAGAGACACAGAGAGACACAGAGAGACACAGACACACACACACAAACAAACACACACACACACACACACACACACACTTAAACCACTCGCTGACTGAAAAGTCGTGGATATCCCTGGCCCCCGGGTTGCAGTTTTCAAAGCAAACTTAGCTGAGAGCTACGTGTTGGCCTTTGGAATGTTGCATTCAAAAAGGACACACAAGCATCATCCATGAAAGCTAGGGCATGTTGAAAAGGCATTTGTCGTGAGTACAGACAGTACGCTGCAAGGAGGCGGCATAAGGCTAGGAATGAATAAGACTCGCTGGCTGTCGAACCAGCCAAGCCAATGTTTGGCCGGCGCTCGTCAGCAGCTTGAACACCTGGTCTGAGCACAAACGTGCGCCGAGCCGCTTTGCTGCCATCCAGGAAGGGAAAGGGAATCGCCATTTCGGCCATGGGCAACTCGGTATCCACCTAGGTTGGCGAGGGACTCCCTGCAACTGTACGTATGTCAGGTTCTACGATGCTATTGTCTTCAAGCAGGGTTGCCTCCCTCAATCGCAGGCAGCATCCATCAAGTCTTTGTGGTGCCATTTGGGTGACAAGTTTATTAACATACAGCAGCACGAACTCCAGCTTGCTTTAACATTGTAGCAAGCACATAGAATCGCGCGTTGCCTGCAAAAGCGACTCATGTCATGGCGTGTCGCGGCTCTTTTCAAAAGCAACTATGCCCGGCGCATTGCCAATCTGCCTCGGATGCCAAAGCATGTCAGCGAGGTAGGTGTCTGGAGGGCCTTCATTACATCAATCAGCCGCAAGCTTGGCTCGGGCCCTGAGCCAAACTAGGATAGGAAGGAACAACCCCCACAGAGCCGGGAAAAAAAAAGCACACTCACACAACTTGCACATCATCGCGGTTTGGAACCTCCTGGGTCTGTGCACTGCACATGCGGCAGTTTGCCACGAATGTCTCTCATGCGTTGGTAGGCACATGAACGTCCAAACGTGATTGCCGTTGGAGCTGTCATTTGAGATGGTGTCTGCCAAGCCATAGGTCTGCGCCTCCTGTGGCCTGATCGTATGAATACCTAGTCTGCATGCTCTGATCCATGTTTGATCCATTTTCCTACGTAAGAAGACTCAAACTACTTTGTTGTCGCCATTGAATCAGGACACGTCAGGAAGACAAACAGCAAAGGCTGGTGCACAAGTGTCACGGGGTCATTCTTTGCCTGGGCAGCAGGCGAGGTTGGGATTACTGCCCCACGCGCCACATGAATTGATGCCAGTTCTCCAGCAACAATGACTGCCGGCAAGCCACTGCATCTTGGTGATGTCCCTCGGAGCCACGGCTTGGGTTTCACAAAGCAGTGTTCAAGCATGTACGGCCAATGTCAACACACCGTCACCCAAAAATATGTCACGTGTGTGTGTGTGTGTGCTCTTTTCATGTTGTTTTTGTTCTTTTGTTTTTTATCCTTTTGCGCGGGGGGGGGGGCTTGCCATGCTGCCATGAACAACGGAACACGTTGTTGCCCAGCTATGTCAAGCATCAGTAGACTCTCCGGAAAGGCTTGATGTGATCTTATCATTCAAGGATAAATGAGCCTTCCTGGTGTAGCTGGCAATGCTGCCCGTACATGAGACCTAAGGACAACAAGTGCGCTCCAAGACGTCGATCGGCCCAAAACGGAGTGGCAAACATGCGTCTAACCATTCCCACCGCCCTTTACTTGCCGAAGGCTTCAAGGACATGGGCTAATGAATCTGCAAAAGGCGCCGTACAAAGACCCATTGCTGCAAGACTGAGCTTTGAAGAGCCTGGAAGTCCTCGTGCATTTCCTTTGAATAAGCTGGGCACGCTTGAGCAGTTGCACCTCCTTCCCCCAGGCCCCGTTTCGATCGTGAAGAGGGTTTCTACGGCTTTCGAGGGGGTGATTTCTCTAATACGGTACAGTGCCCTCTGGCAGATTCATGCAAAAAAACAATCTGTAGATGAATCGTCTCTTGAAGTCAACCCTTTTTGGGTTGCACTTCCGGAAGGGATGGCTCAGGAAAAAGTCCAGCCTTTGCTATTTCCACCAAAATGACCTTTCCAACAAGTTCGCCGAGCGTCATCCCCGGTGGCGGGGGCGGCGGTGGCCGCTTCTCCGCCATGGCCGACATCCACTCGGAGTTCCAGCGCACAAGCGCCTGATGCCGGCACTCGGAAGACGAACGTCCCACGAGGCTAGCGCAAACTGCCTGGTGACTTTGGTGGGAGTTGGGCTCCTCAGCTCCACATTTGATATGGGGTTCAACCATCCTTGGCCCTTTGGCTCTCGCAATGCCCATGGCCAGTCATAGAATGTGGGTCCATGAGTGTCGACCCCGCATTTCTCAATATGTTGAATATGTTGTATAGTTCAGGGCCGTTCCGGGCCGTTCCATGTAAGAGTCTAAGAGGGGGGCATCGACATTAAACCACCGACCTCAACAACAGGGATTGCTAACTAAGAAAGTCATGCGCGCGGTCGCAGGCCCAGACTTTGAGGTATGACCCGATGGAAACATTGAAACTGCTAGTTCCAGGCAGTGTTATTAATAGATAATTCGTCCACATGACAGGAATGATCCTAACAAAGGAGCATTGAAGCAGCTAGATTCGTTCATTCACCCCGACTTGCAACGCGGGTCCTAGCAGCTTGTCCCAAACACCATTGCCCTCCATGGAGTGCCGGTCAAGCCTTCTCAGTCTCACAGATTTGATTTGTCTTTGCTTCTTTGCACACAGAGGCATAAGGAAGCCCTGAGTGCAAGCCAAAGACTGCCAAACGGCCATTGGTTCCAGTGGACAATATGCAGCAACACGTCTAAGCCAGTGTCATAGCAATGCGGTGTACATGCAAGCAGAAGGCATGCTAAATATCTCAGGGGTCTTCGCATCGATGTCAATCTCGTGGATTCGGCAAAAGCCCCATGAGTAAGCATTCGCGAAATAATGACAAGCCGCCTCCGCCTCAAACAATTACCGCGGATCAAAAACACAAAAACACAGCCTTCCAAGCCTTTCTCACCTGCGGGCCCACTCCTCCATCATGTCAATGGTCACGCCCCTCGCGGTGATGCGCTCCTGGCCAAACCAGGTTGCAGCTTGAGCAGCGCCCCGAATGCATTTCCCCACCGGCCGTAAACACCGGATACAACGCGTAATTTCGTAGCCACGTGTACCAGAAAAGTTCCAAGGTGTTGATCAAATTCCCAGGCTTGACTTCCTCTTGTGGCCCTTCACGGCGCTTACTCCTCGGTTATCTTGAAGGCCTCGATGCCCTGGAAGTCCTCCGCGTAGCGGAGCCGCAGCTGGTTGGCCAGCCAAAAGTCGTTGGACTCGCACATGGCTTTGCCTCCGGTGCTTCCGCAGGCTTTGCCAGGACAACAAACGAGCACCCCTTCATCCATTCTAGTTGGCGATTCCCTTTATGTGTACTCTATTGACCCAGGCCCCCCCCCCACCTCCCGGACCATAAATGACAATTGGCCATTGCCCGACATGAAATCTAACGCTGCCTGGAAGGTTTGTCTGACGAGAGACTGAGCTCCAGCTGCTCCTCCGGGGAGATCATCCCACGCTGCATCTTGGTCATGAGCTCCATGGCCCTTGGCCGCCTATCACAAAGGACGACCAAAACAAGTGGATCAACAAGAAGGCCTGGAAACTGGAAACTGAAAACTGGCGTAGAGCCACCCCAAAAAACAACTTGCGATGACTTGTCCGATGCCAGTTTTCAACAGTGCGATGATTGCCCCACCACATCGGCACGAATAGGTAGTTCTGCGCCCCTGCAGCGAGAAACAAAAAAAAACAAAGCCTTTGCTTCTTGGGCACCACCCAGCTAAAGATTGTATCTTACTGTGCGCTTCTGGCGTTGGCGGTGTCAAAATCGACCCCTCCCAGAGCTTGGATTCATGTCCTTTAAAAGGCGCCCCCCTCCCGGTTTTGGACCCTCGGCCTGGCATCCATCTCCGCCACCTTAGAAAAGGCCTCGCTGCTCCAGAACTCTGAGCGGAAGGGGCACAGCGGTCCAATGGGCAGCATCCTCGGCTGTCAGCGTTGGCATGTTTTCCATGGGTCTGTCTCAAACTTTGTGGACCTCCCAAAAGCTTGGCTTCCTTTTGCGATGCCAAACTCCTGGCTGACATTGCTTCGCTAGGTTCTCTTCCTAAGCTGGGCAACGTCTCTTGGGAACGATCTTTGGCCTTTGTTCAAGATCCAGTCTCGGGCATATCCTGAGCTCAAACTCTCTCCCTTCTCGCCGCGTGTCAAGCCACAGCTGGCAATGGAGTCAGCCGCCCTGGCACGCGGGAAAGTGTTTGTTCTATGGCGGCGTAACAACCCGCCTGCAAATTAACATGCGTGGCCCTTTTTAGAGGAATGGGGACGCGCGTTTTGGATTGGATATCAATTTGCAGCGGAGTAAATTCGCCCGGACCTGGTCGCAAAAGGGTCCTGTTTCATGCTGGCCTGCATTTTGCGGGGGAATTGAACATGAGGGTTCATAGTCCCTATCCAAACTTTGGAGCTTGAAAATATCTTTCATTCGTAATATAATTGCAGCAGGTGCGCAAATATGCCAATGTGCTGTGGCCTCAGCATGAAGCAGTGGGAGCTCCTTCCGACAAAGGAGGCAATCTCGCTCTGGCAAGCCAACTTACTATAGGGTAGGCTGCATAAGTACTTCACTGACGGTTGACAGTGCTTAAGCCTGTGCCCATTTCTTTGCAGGCTGGACAAGGGCAGCAAACATATTCATGACCATACAGGTTTTGAAGTTTGTACGCTGAAGTGAGAAGCCTGCCGCTTTTTTGGTGCGGCTGAGCGGAAAATCACGCGAACATCTGGAAGTCAAGGTGACCCAAAATGACCGCCTAAGCTGATTGCCCCGCAGCTAGACCTAGTTTCTGACGTCATTCCTTTCTGGGACCCAAGGCAGAAACCTCCGTGCTCAGCAGTCCGAATGAGCACCCTCCACGCTCGCCTCCGCCCCACAGAGATGACCCTTCCTCAGCTTAAACTTGAAGGCCCAGCTTCTGCCAGCATGATTCAAGCTCATGCTAGCATGCGTAATGGCTCAACTAGCACGGCCTCGTTTGGCTTTATACATCGACGCCTCTGGAATTGGGACGTCCTCATCGATTTCCTCATCAACAAGGGGGTGCTCAGTGGGGTGTGGGCGGAGTCGGCCATGCTCGTATGGCCAGATATGTTTCGCCAGTTCCATGACAGAAAAAACAACAAAGCTACAGACTAAAAAGCCCGCTGGCATGCTTTTCGGGAACATGAACAAGGCCGTTTCTGGCGAAATAATCTGGCACTCAAAGCATGTCGGCTCACCAAACTTGATCACTTCAGGTCAAAAGCACGTAATCTGGGGCATGTGGGCCTATCAGTGCCACCTAGCCGCTTACTGGATTCCCGAAGGCTGACAGGCCACAGGAAATGCAGGAAGTGAGCCCAACAACACGCGTTTGTTAGCATTTGCTCCGCTTCCTGATTTCCTGTGGCGGGGTAAGGGCTTCCCCCCAACTTGGTGGACCTGGTGCTAGATGTTGCTAGTAAGCTCGCTGCCGGATGCTGCCGGTGAATGATAGGACCACCACCACCACAGGTGGTAAAACCGAATCGTTTAGGTGCAGGATCAATCAAAGGGAATCAAATCGCCCGAGTTCCAGCCGCGGCTCTTCTCGCGGTCCCTGACCAGGCAGCATTCAGTCCAAACCTCGGCGAAGGGTCCCAAGAGCTCAGGGAAGGATCCCATGCTTGATCCCCATCCCACAAGCTGCTACCAAGACCGCGACCTAACACACCCAACACACACAGACACTCGCTGGGGACTCTTCTTCTCAAATTTCAATATTTTATTCAGCATCTCACGCGCACAAGCCGTCTGGCCAACACGGTAGCTCCTTCACTATGTAGGCCTTCAACTTCCTCGCATGCGGTGACCGAGTGACATAGGTCGCAGTCAAAGTGGGTCAAGTTTCACCGCTTCAAGCAAGCATAATTCTGCATGGGACGCGAAACAAACCCAGTTCCCGCCCACGTATTCAAGCAAAAACTCCTGCAACAAGGAACTCATGGCAAATCATAGTCAGCTGACCCACGTTGAAAGCAGTGGCAAACTGAACACAATAAACGCACAAATCACGCCAACACCCGTCTTTCCAATGAGCGCCTCCCGTGTTGACAAGCAGGCCACAGGCTCAAAGCGGCCGCCAAGACCAGCCGCAAAGGCCACAACCGTCTACTCAGAGCAGCCATTGGCACGCAAGGTGCTCAAATGTGCAGCGGCTGAGGGGGGGCAAGCGGATCCGGGGTGTGGTGCGGTGGCAGGATGTCATGGTTGAGTGCCTCAATATTGCACGTGGGGAGCACGGAACGCTTACCTTTGAGTTCTAAATGAAAATAAAGAAAGAACCGTGCTTCGGGCAATTGGCCCTGCAGTGCTGTAGGTGCTGCTTGTTGTCTGCTCTGCTTGTTGTTATCGCGCTGGCATGGCCGGCCAAACTATGTCATTATGGTGCCTTGCCTGCTGAGCTGTTCTGAGGCATTGTTGTTTGAAGCAGATTCATCATCACAGTAAGAGTGTCCATGAATGATGGTAATAAGTTGACAGGGGAGCCCATCCAACCAAGGCATGTATCAAGGTTGTTTTGCAAGGGGCCAAGATTCTGAAGATTTGCAAGAACTGACTTCCAGGAAAACCCTGCAGGAAACTCATGGCGTTCTAGCTTGGCCGGGTTGGGGCCATCCCCAGTCACAGTTTTGCGCTCAGCAATGCTCAAGCCAAACATGCCACACAGCACATGAGGCGCGAGCGAGACCCTACTAAGTCGACATGTACTCATGTCCGCTGGCAACATGTCATCATGTTCATACTGACGAATCGGTCTGTGCACCCCCTCATGCCCCAGAACGGTCCAAACTTGAGAAAGTATAAGCAAGTGGCTCTAGCCCTTTGCAGTATATCCTGGACGGTCCATTGGCATCTTGGCAAACAGGTCAGTTGTGGCGCCTTGCGCCTGTCGGTGTTCTTGCCCAAGGAGCATTTCATGACGATGTAGTGCCAGTTGTCCAGAAACCTAACCAAGGCAGCTGGCACGAGAATGCTGGGACTCCTCTGCCTCCGAACCCAATCCTGTTGGCCTTCGCGCGTCGAATGCGAGTTGAGACGTGACATCGAGGTGCCCAAGTAAGCTCGGCGCTGCTGCATCTGAAGGCAAAGCGCTTCATCCGACACCCGCCTCAAATGGCAGGAGAGTGCAAAAGGGCTGGTGCCAACTGCAAGCGATGAGAGGGGGTGGCATTTGGCCCATGTCACGGACAGCGAACACTTGAACCTGATGCCAGCCTCAGCATGGGATTCACACATGCGTAAGTCCAAACACTTAGTAGTTGAGACAACGCTCATGCAAAGCAAGGCCACATGGGCATGGAGGCCACAAACTGTCTGTTGTTATGAAACCGGTTGAAGCAGGCTGCACAGGGAACGAACGTTCCACCTGCCATTCGAAGGCCTGGTAAGCCCTGCCGAGCCGTTTGCCAACATCAAACTGAATTGCGGGCCTTTTCGCCTAGTTTAACCTCGACCTCTGGGGTGTCGAATACCCGAGTCTGTATATGATCGCCTCATTCACAGAAACTTGGACCTGAGAAAGCCGCCACACCAATTGACCCAGCGGACAAAACACCTCGGGGCAAAGCTCAGCTTCCGGCTGGTGCTTTGGCGACAGCATCTTGGATGTTGTGCGAGAGGGTGACGCCATGATGTAGGCCTGGCAACGAGCAATGGCGGTTCGATAAACTCAATTAATAACTCAAGTAGCCGCGGTTGAGGGCAATATCACTGACGAACGTTTCATGGTTCCACAATGCTGAAGACAGAGTCACCACGGCAAACATTCTGTTAAAGTTGACTCCGCGTGAGATTGCTCTTGAAAACTATCAAACCCGCCTTCAGATTCCGCTTGGCAATACTGGAATCAAGCAACAAGGTGTCAGGAGCCCCTTCGACCAGTTCACATCACAGGACTAGAGTAGCATGTTCGCAAATGCATCCATGGCCAGTTGATGTATGAAGCAGCTTGCCACCGGCAAGGTTCTAGATTGCAAACTTCCTCTGGAACAAAAGCTCTGCCCAGCAGCCATCCACCAGGGCTTCTTTCCAAATGGTGTGGGAAATGACCACTTCTGTGATACAGCAAAAGGGGCCTCCCAAAGACGAATTCCCCATGTAAAGGGGGTTCCCTTGTATCACAGAAGTGGGGATAAACCATTTGATCCCGCAACCCTGCTTTGCTTTGGTTGCCCTCAAGCGCGCAAGTTGAAAACAGCGCGCCTGCCCGCGCGGGATCGCGCGATCAGGCAGTCGGCGCCCGGATCTCGGGCCAGCTGAGCCAAGGGCGGGCGATGACTCAAGTGGCAGCCCTCCAAACGCCTCTCCCCTCGTGTAACATCTTGCACTCTTGGACCGAAGGTGTCCAAACACTCGCAAAAATGCTAGAACTTTGATAACCTGGGAGTTTCACCACGCAAACAGGGATGCAACTCCACCTACTTTGTCAGATTTTTGTCAAGCTCTGAAAAGGGGCTTTGCAACAATGGCACCTGGCGCCTTTCTTGGCGTCCAGTTTGAGCACCGACCTGCCAGCACTCCTGTTCTCGTGGACCCAGCCCTTCCGCACAGACAGTGTCCGGCCGCTGGGGGACGACAGCCTGGGATCGGTGACTATGACCCAAAAGTCGCCTCGGCTTGGGTTGGAGGTTCGCAGGCGCCTTGGGTTTCCACCAGTGCCAGCTTCCAACCCTGGAAGCTACTATTCAACATTATCCAACCCAGCGGAGGGAAACAAAAAAAGCACCTTTCCCAACACAGGACTTGCGCTGGTGGCAAGATGCGGGGTTCAGCGGCCGACGGCTGAACTCGAACAGCCATTTGACTGAGCCATAGAATCGTGTGGGGCCCGGAGACTCATGTTGGCTTTGCCGTCAGTGGCGCAACCAAAATGTGCAAATGCCAAGCCCATGCTGTCAAAGCACCTTGCTCGCAGACCAGTCAAAAGAGTGCAGCTGGTGAATGGCCACTTCCATGCACTGCGTGTTTCAAAGACCCGGGCTGTGTTGCATTGCCAGCAGCGAGTGAAAGCCCAAAGAGAGCCCAAAAATGCCAAACAAGCAGCGGCACAACCAGCAGCATTTACTCACCATGCGACACATGAGCCACAATAAGCCTGCCTCCCCCAATGCCAAATAGATTCTGGGCCGCCAAGCTCCGGTGGGATGTCCAGCACACACCGCTGCTTCCAAACCTAGGTTAGGCATCGCCGCCTGCACGTACTGCCTGTGGAATTCTCGAACTCTAAAACAAGCCAACAACCGGCCGGAGTCAGCTTTTTGCGATGTGCCGGAACCAAGTTCAGGTCACCATGCCCTGCAAAAAGCGGACAACCAGCCGGTGAACTGATTCTTCGTGCCGCTTGGGCAACTGGTACGGCCCAAGTGTTATCAAAAATCCCGGCCGAATGGAACGCTTGACTTCTGCCGCTACCTCTGCAGAAACAAACAACTAAAACATATTGCCCACACCTGCCCAACCAACATATGAATATATGGCCATGCGCAAAAAAAGTTGATTTCCGTTTGGTTTCCCTGTAAACCTACCCCAAAAAAATAACAATCAAAAACTAGACCACGGTTGGCCCGAAAGCAGAACATCGCAAGCGAGGTCGGCCCAACGCTGCAGGATGCGTTCTTTTTCCCTACACGAAGCATTCGTGAAGCAAGCGCGAGACAGCACCAGGCAAGGTGCTCTGCGCAAACTGGTCGGTGCAAGTTGGTCTGCGCAAGTTGCTCTACGCAAGTTGCACTGTGCAAGTTGCTCTGCGCAAGTTGCTCCGCGCAAGTTGCTCCGGCAAGTTGGTCCCTGCAAGTGGCTCCCTGCAAGTTGCTCTGTGCAAATTGCGCTCCCTGCAAGTTGCTCTGTGCAAGCTGCTCTGTGCAAGTTGCTCTGTGCAAGTTGCTCTGCGTAAGTTGCTCTGCGCAAGTTGCTCTAGGCAAGGCGCTCTGCGCAAACTGGTCGGTGCAAGTTGGTCTGCGCAAGTTGCTCTGTGCAACTTGCTCTGCGCAAGTTGCTCTGCGCAAGTTGCTTTAAAATGCAAGTTGCATCTTGCGACGCCCGCCCGCGGACCAGGGAGGAATCGAACCCGCGACCCGCCGGTTCCGGGAGCAGGCGCGCGAACCACGAGACAACTCCCGAGGACCAGTTCGAACAACAAAAGTCGCAAAAACCTCGAGTTTTTGCACCTCCACCACGCCGATTCCCGCAGAGGGTTGCGCGAGCACCGCAGAAATCGCAAAAAACCATGGGTTTTTGCACCTCGACCACGCCGATCCCCGCAGAGGGTCGCGCGAGCAGGTTAGAAATCGCAAAAAACCATGGGTTTTTGCACCTCGACCACGCCGATCCCCGCAGAGGGTCGCGCGAGCAGGTTAGAAATCGCAAAAAACCATGGGTTTTTGCACCTCGACCACGCCGATCCCCGCAGAGGGTCGCGCGAGCACCGCAGAAATCGCAAAAAAAACCGCACCTCGACCACGCCGATCCCCGCAGAGGGTCGCGCGAGCAGCGCAGAAATCGCAAAAAACCATGGGTTTTTGCACCTCGACCACGCCGATCCCCGCAGAGGGTCGCGCGAGCAGGTTAGAAATCGCAAAAAACCATGGGTTTTTGCACCTCGACCACGCCGATCCCCGCAGAGGGTCGATTTTCGTGTAGTGTCGTCGGCACTACCCCGCCGCCCTAAGAAGAGATTTTAACTCCTCGCAAGTCAATTGCACTTGACTCCTTGCACTTGCAACTTGCACTTGACTCCTTGCTTGTTTCAAGGAGTCATTGCAAGGAGTCATTGCAAGGAGTCATTGCAAGGAGTCATTGCAAGGAGTCATGGCAAGGAGTCATTGCAAGGAGTCATTGCAAGGAGTCATTGCAAGGAGTCATTGCAAGGAGTCATTGCAAGGAGTCATTGCAAGGAGTCATTGCAAGGAGTCATGCAAGGAGTCATTGCAAGGAGCAAGGAGCCAAGTGCATGGAGTCAAGTGCAAGTCGCAAGTGCACGGAGTTAAGTGCAAGTTGCAAGTGCAAGGGCCAAGTGCAAGGAGCCAAGTGCAAGGAGCCAAGTGCATGGAGTCAAGTGCAAGTTGCAAGTGCAGTAGTTGCAAGTGCAAGGAGTCAAGTGCAAGTTGCAAGTGCAAGGAGTCAAGTGCAAGTTGCAATCCTTGCCATGACTCCTTGCAATGACTCCTTGCAATGACTCCTTGCAATGACTCCTTGCAATGACTTTCATGATGATGATTCCTTGCAATGACACCTTGTAATGACTCTCATGAGAACAACTCAAGTGAACCCAGCGGAAGAACCCTTCGCCATGCTTTCGGGAATACACTCATATATCTTGCTTTTCCACAATAACAGTGTCTATAGACCAACACTGAAGGTCGACAACTCCTACATTTCAATCTAGCATCAAACAAAAAGACTACTGGGTTCTCAAACGCATGAAAGTGCGCACAAGTACTCTAGCCACGGCAACCTAGAAGTGGGGGTGACCTCCAGGAGCCACACGAACACAGGCAAGTCCGGTTTGTCTCTTGAGATCAAGCTGATTCCCACTGCTGCAGCAGTTCCATGGTGTCTCTTCCAGTGCTCAACTGGGTCCGCTGCCGACTAAATCGAACTACTTATGCACATCGTCGACCAACTACAAACAACAACATGTGCCGCGCAGCTGCCACCATGAAACTACTTGTGAAGGGTTCCATTGAACCAGCCTTATCCCCGCTGCCCTGGGCATCGCGCCGGCTTGATGGTCTGCTGCTTCCAAGTCGTGCGGCAGGCCTGGGCAGACCTTGGCATGTCGGTCACTGACTTTCTGCTCCAAACGCCACAAAGCGCCCCGCAAGAAATTCATTTCTGCCATAAGCCGCTGGGATGTGGCTTTCCACGTGCCCACGGAAGGGAGACACGCCAAGTTGGGGCCGCTTTTCCAGCGCTGCATGTTGCTTGTCTTGGGGGGAGATGGTCTAGTTGCAACATGTTCGAACATTACGACGATACCACTCCGAGCACCATTTCGCGCCTTGTCACTTTAGGTTTCGGACGGTTTCGGCGTACTGTTGGAAAGCCAGTAGGGGCACAACCAGGACTCACGTATCCAGTATGTGCACCCACTCCACACATCCCTTTGGCCTTAGGCACTGGCACCATGGGATCACCTTCCACAAACTGCATGCGAACCTGCAGGTTGTTCTTGATGACACCTGCGCTGGGCTTCTTCACATCATAGCTTGCCACACAAATACAAAAATGTTGTTGGACGCATACTGCCTCAAACACAGAAACATGCGTTCCTCTGCCAACGCTCCCCCGAAAATCGGGAGACGCAACGGAAGTCCCAAACCCTCATTCATGGCTATTCCCAGGCACATGGCACATCGCATGTGCGATAACCCCGGTCTGCCCAACTGCAGCTGCTCTCCGGCGCTCCTTCGTAGCGGATCTTGCTGCAACCTGAGCACAAGGTATATTGGCCATGGGCCTCTTGAAGCGGTGCACTTTCATGTTCATAAGGCCAGGCCACGAGTGAAAGCTATCGCATTCCTGTAAGCAGCATTTCTTGGAAAATTCTGAGGGGCCGTCACACTCAAGTGCCTTCTGACCAAGGGGCTGTCGATGCTACACTCGAGCTGCTTGGGGCATGGCCTTAGCCACCAAAAGGGTAGCAGTCAAGATATCGGTCGCCCCCTCATGCTCTTGCAGTGACATTGCAGTGCTCATCCAAAATGCCAACAGGCAGAGATGGCATGTGGACCAGCATGAGCCTTATCATGGTGTGTGTATCTCTTTCAACTATCCGTCCTAATTATATGAGTTCCTTGCTATGCTTGCAATCGGGGAAAGCAAAGTGAGACGCACGGCTGGTCGCCTAGGGCCCATGGTCGACATGATTGCCCTTCAAGGCACGCACGTTTTCTCTCCCAACCTCCTGCCAAATTCCCGGCCAATCGTCCGCCTCTTAGCTGGACGCTTTAGCTTTGGCCAGCTGCCGAAGCCGCACCCCATAATTGTGAGTGCGGGCAATGTTCACCTCCGTGGTGGTGATCCTGAGTCAACAAAAGATCACTGGATTGCTCGTTCGCAAATCATTCACAAGACGTGGCGTGGAGAGTATACCATTAGTTGGGGCACGCACCATACAAAGGCCAATTCTCGAAATCGAATTGGTTGGCTCCCAGAATGTCAGTTCGTGAGATGGCTTCACCATAGGCAAGGTCAAGGCGAACAAACACCGACCCCGGCCCAGCAAACTGGCCCCACGTCGTCGGCACTTGCTATCATAAGTTTGTACGGGATTGGAACAGTCCTTGCCTAATTGTGCCTGCTTGGCAATGAACCGGAACAGGAGACATACGAACACTGATGCAAGGTCCGACGTGTGCTGTTCCGACATTGGCTAGCAAACATGAAGCTGGCTGCGAACCATTTGTTGAAGGAACCCGAACGGTAGGCTAAGCCACCCCTGTTTTCATGAGATTTTGGGAAGTGAGCTTGCTGGCTGGAGCTCTCACTGAGCATTCTGAGTGTGGCTGCCCCAGCTTTGCCGCTTACCCCGAGCTGCTGACCTGAAACACTGCTTCGAGCGTCTGGTCTCGCAAGAAGGCCGAATCCTCCTCAAGACTCTTGAGGGTAGTTCTGGCGTTGGTCTCGTTGGTGCGAAGCAGCTCAAGCGCCTCCTGCGGCGCCAAGGGCGGGCTAGGTCGAGATTTGGGTTGAACAAAGCCGTGGACAACCCTGCGACCTTATACCTTGGTATCTGTTGATATCGTTGTTACTCTGTGGCAACTGTAGCTCAGAAGTCGAAGCTTTTCAGTACAAGTGTAGTATACGAAGTGCACTTTGGCAGCTGCGGATCGAAAGTCGCAACTGTTAAGTACAATGCACAATTGTCTGGCTCGAAAGTCGCAGCTTTGTACGGCTTTGTACACGCAGCACACTTTGGCGCCACATGTTTCTTAATGGCTTCTATAGGGGGTGTTGTGTTTACCCCAGCATCGGTTTACAAAGTTAGTTAGGGGACGGGACGGGCCCGTACATAACGAAAAGGCGCGGTGTTTTGTTTTCTGAACCATTTGTTGTTGCTTGGGTTGACCGGAGGGCTAGTGCAACAAATGACTGTACTCCATGGCTTCGCTTCCATTGCCTCATGCCCCGGATTCTGGCTAAAGCGCCAAAGCTCCCACCGTACTTAGCACTACATGTGCAGCGCTTGGACAAACACGCACACATCACTAGGCCTCAGTGGAGGCCCGGATAATCTTAATTTTAAAGCCACATATCACATGACCAACAATCATCTACAATGCAGTCACACTCTTAACGCAAATCCGCTCCAATCCAAGTCCGTCGAAACTATGCTGCAAGGCGAGCGACGCTCACTCAACTTGTGGGCTCCTCCAGGGTGTACTCCAACATGCAATTGGCCCCCAGCCATAGGCAAACGTTGCCACTGGGAGCCGCCGAGGCTTTGGACCAAATGTTCTCCGCCAGCTGGTAGGTGTACTCTGCCGCATCCGCTTCCTTCTCCTTTCGCTCTGCGAGATGCGTCACCACCTCCAAGGCTGAGACAATATCCTCGGCTAACGCATCGGCCAACAGCTCAAGTGGAATACCCTGGGGCTGAAAAGGGCAAAGCAGAACTCGTGAACAAACTTATTCAAGCAACCAAAGACTTCATGATAGGTTTGTGCCCTGCAACATGCTCTCGTCTTGCTCGTTGCGGTGAGCTGCGACCTCTTCCGACCCTTGAAAAGCAACGAATTTGGCAGGACAAAAGAAAACCAGGGAATCGATCAATCCTCAAACCATTTCAACCACAAAATCACGATTGAACACCTCGTTTGTGGAAGGGTGCAGGCGTCCATTTGGTGCACATTGCATTCTTGAGCTGATTCTGCATGATTCTGAAAGCTGCAAGCGCTCATTTGCCAGTCACAGCGGGAGAAGCAATCTTGAGCGATCGGCACTCCACTGGCGCTCGAGCGTAATTTGGTTGGCGACTTTGTTGCCACATCAAGGTTCCTTTCACAAAGAGCCCTTGGGCCTGATGCCAGAAACAAAAAAGCGGGTTGGAATAGCATCACTTCGATCTCAGCTTCCTTTCTTGCCCGCGCAATGCAAGGGGGTGCTGACATGCGGGACGCGGATTTGTTGCTACGACTTCACGATCTGCTCTTCATAAAGCAAAATCAATATTCCAGTCGTGTAAAATGAACTCAACCGCATCTGGAAGCGTTGGACATTTGGTGGGCTTCAACATTATTGTTATCCACCTGCTCCAGACTTTGGTCAGAAAATTCTGAGCACACAACCGGGAGCTCACAGAACAACTGGCCAATGTCAATCTGTGGGCGCATTGAACTGGTGGAAAATACTGACAAGCACTCTATGGCGATCACAAGCTTCATTCAATTCATTCTGGGACCTTCGGCATGCATGTCCATGCAGCGCCCAAGCCATGGAACTTGCTCCAGGGAGCCCTGCCAATTGCCATTGCAAATGGCCGGCCAACCGCTCTTAGAAAAAAAAGAGGCAATACCCCCTCTCTGTGTCAAAGCCCGTAGACCTCTTTCCTTGCCGAGAGTCTGGCAACTTAGACTTCAGGGAGGATCGCTGCGCAGTCAACGAGCTCTGCATGTACTGGTACTTGCTGTGCAGGTCTTGCAGCCGCCCCACAATCTCCGTGGGCTCCCTTTCTTTGCCTCGCGAGAGTCATGCTCCTCTTTGAACGTCCCCCTTCCCTTGAAGGGGGGAGGGGGGGAAGGTCCCCCAATTCCATTTTGAGGGGGTGGGGATCTTTAAGCATTGGAATTGCGTTCGCCAAGGCAGTTGGGAGCACTCTACTGGTCCGTGCGTTTGTCACGTTGCAACCTTAGGACGTGAACGCGCATGGCCGAGATGGGCAAGCAAAGCGCAACCAGTTGTTGGCTTTGCACCCTGTTCTTCTCTCCACATGTTGCCCATGGACACGGGACTTGCGTGAATGGTAGAATATCAAACAAGTTGCTCTGCCAAGACGTGGTCACTCGCCTCGACTGCCCAAAGAAGTCGAAGGGGGAAGGGGGGCGGGGGGAGAAGTTAGGGGAGGGGGCGGGTGTGTGTGTGTGTGTGTGTGTGCAAATTATTTGATGGATGATGAATGCGGTGTTGTTTGGTTTTCTTGGCCTGCGACTCACAATAATTACGCGCCATTATTCTTGCTATCCTTGCAGCTGCTGTATGAGAGCATGATCCTGATAGGATCAAATGCCATCGTCTGTCATGTCTGTCCACCGCCAGCACGCTCCCACCCACCAACATGGAGCCCACCAAATGGTCCGTTTCCAGCCACTCCAGCTGGAACTTCGAGGCAATTGACATGCTGTGCCCGAACACGACTCATAACTGTAACATATCGACCCCTACCCGCCCAAGCAAGCAACACATTTCTGCTAGTCCGGCTCCAAGCTGCACATCTCCTCGACATTCTCGATAAAGATCGCCTCTGGGATGCCCCGCTTGTTGCCCTCCGTTTTCCTGTCACGTGTTGCAAGTGCCGCTTGGGTTCGAAAGGCCACATGCAGCTGAAGGCAAATGAAAAGTGTGGTTCAACACACATGTCAACCTGATGTTCAGTCCCGGCTGATGTGTGCTGGGCCATTTCAATCCCCAGCATTTTGGTCACCATTTCTGCAGCATTGGCAATACAAAGGGATATTCCTTGAAGGGCCCCGACAGAACAACCCACATGCTGCATCATGCTGCTAAGTCACTACAGGATCTCAATCATTGATGCATGGGCGGTCATGGGGTCACAGAGGCACGTCAGGCAACACCGATTTTGGTCGGGCGTGTTGACATGTTGAGCACCCGCCTGAAGAGCAGCGCATCCAACTTGGCCGTCGCTTCCGCCATGGCAAGGAGCCGAAGGCGGCAAGAGGTGCCCCAATTGATCTGACTTGGCCGAGGTTGAAGCGAAGGTGGCGCGCCACCTGCACGACCCAGAGGCATCATCTGGTGCATGCAAAACTGGAATGATGTCTTGCTCTTCGCCGAACCCCTGTCACATCCTATTGGGGGCTAGGTACTTTCCAATAAAAATGCGTGTTGGATCTTTGGGCGCTTCTCGCTTGGCAAGAAAGGCACAGCTTGTTCCTCATCTTGTTCACAAGACCACATTCACATTGATGGCACCTTGCCTGCTTTGCCTATTCCAACCAAATATGATGTCCAAACGAATCTGGATCTCAGCACGGCCTGCATGCCGGCTAGGTAGCTGGCACCCACATGCCAAAAGCATGCTACCGCTCTCTGGAAAACCTTCACGAAAGGCACCGAGCAAGCACCTAGTTTCAAGTCAGTCCTATCCATGCACCTTGCAATGCTTGCTGGGGTCGGTTGGGAAACCTGCGTGAACAGCCCAAAGCGCACGATGACAAAACCCGCTTGCATCAGAGACATGCCATCCACAGCAAAGGCTGGAAGATAATATGACCCGTAAGGCCACCAAGGAGCCACTCCCACCCCCGAAGCTTTCAGACTTGCCATCTGAGCTTCCCAGCACGACTGACTGAAAGCTCAGGCCTCGATGAGGCGCAGTGCAATTGGCTGCACTGGTGAAGGGCTTCTCGGCTAAAAGACTCGAAAGGCAAAAATATGAAGTTGCGACACTGGACAAAGCCTCGGCAGCCTGCACATGAAGCAACGTGTGGTCATGGCACCTCACGACATGGTTTCCGGCTGGAAGCAGGGCAGCAAGCCGGGCACGTGCAGTTCACGTGGCACACTCGCCAAGGGACAGCTTTTCATGTTTTGTAGCCCCGGCGCAGGGCTATGCCGGTGCCGCACCGGGCGCAGGCCGCTGAGCCACCACGCGCAGCAAAGGTGTTGCCTGAAGCGACGTGGGCTCGAGCAAGGCTTCGGCCGTCGGCCAAAGCCTTCCGAAGCAAAAAAATCTAGGACTATCTAGGACATTAAATTTTGATGGGAGGAACGCGGGGCGCATACACCAGCCTTGAAAGCTCCTCTGGACTTTTGACGGGGGCATGCTGAATGGAGTTGCATGCATCCGTGGATGCAAACGAAACAACATGATTGTGCATGTGTGCCTGTGCGTGCGTCGATGTCCTGATTAGCAAGGACAACTATACTGGCTTGTGTCACACGGCCTGCAAACAGGTGACAAATTGCTGCATACCCAACGCGAGTAGCAAGCAAGCAGGCTTGTAGTATGACTCATCATCGGTTGTGACCATGCGCTCTATTATATACTTGCGCTTGATCGCGGCAAGCAGGGAGGCTCCCCGGGCCACGTTGCCCCAGCTCCCCGGATACATCTCACCACAAGCTCAATCGCAACAGTCAACGGCCCTGCGCACCTCAGCCTCGCCAGACTTTCGAGGCGCCTGACCGAATGCTGAAAGCACCCGGTAAAGGGGGGGGGGGCTCCGTCTTTGCCAAAACAAGCCATGAATTTGTTTGAGGTCAACTAGAGGATGTCAAAGCCTCGCATTTGCCCTTCACCCCAATGTCTAAGGAAACGGATTTCGGCGCATGTAAGCTTGAAGCAGGCCTTTAGCAAACTTGCTCCGGACGGTGACTGGAACCAGCATGCTTAAACAATAGCAAGACCATGGAGGCTGTCAGGTGCAAGAGTAAACGCGAAGATTTCTAAGGCTGGAAGTAAATTCCCCGTGTTCATACCATTTGGCTTCCTCATTGCCAACGACTTTATGCGGCTCATATACAGCTGGTTGGACCTTTTGGGCATGGGGGTATGAACAACATCAAGCTTGTTGGGGTCAGTTACCAAGGGGTATGTGGGTATGCAAACAAAAGTATATTATGTATATATATATATATAGTGCTACGGTATCCGATTCATTGACTCTGACCTTAGAAGGCAGGCTGCGACGGCCACATGGCGATCCTATCCGCTTGCCTCCCAGCATGCACCTTGAACCGACAACTTCCGAAGATGACTGCCCGGTCCTGCACCACTGACTTCAGCTGAAAGGCTTTCACCTGCTCACGTTCATCCGACGGAGTTCTGAACGGCCATTGGAGATACATGAAGGCCAGTGGACAACACTGCGACATGAGTCCAACTCGCAAAGTGGTACTGCACACAAAACACAGGCACCCTTCGAGACAAAGGATCCTAAAACACACACACACAGCACACTCACACAAACCCAACACGAAGCAATTTCAGAGCCACCGCATAAGCCAACCAAAACCAATAAATCTCAAAACTTAACCTGCGACCACAGCAATCCTTGACCCTTCCCCTCTACCGGGATTGGCCCCGCAAACGTTGCTGGCTTGCTAGCTGGGCTTCTGCGAAACTAAAACTGAAGCAACCGGCGCGTATGCACAATGCCGCAAACATGTGTGTCTGTGTCATCAGAACGAGCCTGAGGTACCTTATCGACGGTCGGAAGCAGGCTCGCAAACTGCCCTCCACCCTTCCACCCAGCCGAACTCATTTTATTTTCGGACCAGGCTCTTGAAGAACCATCCGCCCAAACTTTTCAGCCTCATGGCTTGGCGGGGCCTGGCCCTCCACCATCGCGGCGTCCAAGGGCAAGAAGAGCTCCGCCACCAACTTCTCCGAGCCCCTGGCGGGCGACGTGTGGTTTGTCCGCACCCATGGGGGCAACTCGTCGTGGGGGGTGTCCTTGAGCCTTCCAAGGCGAAAGTACCGTTTGAGGTCTGCACGAAACATCATACCGACCTGGTGTTCGTTGAGCCATGGTCAGCTTAGGGCAAATACGAGCTGTGCTTTGTTTGGCAGCTGGTTGGAAGATGTCGCATTAAACGTCATGTCCGGCGTTGGAAAGGCAATCTCGTGTTCGGATGAACAAGAGGAACAATTGGCAACCGTACGCTGGATCAAAGACCTCCTGCCACAGCAAAAGAAGTTGAGAACTGCACGGTACGCAAGAGGGCTCCTTGCTAGAGGTCTCAAAGACTAGTCCAGCAGAATGAAGTTCTGACTCGACGTGCTACAGCTGCAAGTTGCATTGCCACATCTGCCTCTCCAAGAAGTCCTGCCAAAGCCCTAACCGACACATCTAATCGTGGCGCCGGCACAGCCGCGAGCGGCCAATGACCTGGAAGTGCAGGCCTTGGCCGAGCAACGAAAGACTGCAAGGAGTACAAACCAGCGAAAGCCACTCGAACTCATCTGGAAGTCGCGCAAAGCACCCGTGCACAGCGAGAGAGAGAGAGAGACACAGAGAGAGACACAGAGAGAGTTTGCCTAGTTTGCGTGAGTACCAATCTACCATCGCAAACATATGCACAAGACTTAGATTCTTCGCCCAATTTGACGACCAAAAGCAGACAGAAACATGCCTGCCGGTATATATGTGTTTTGACAAGATGGCTCGACCAAACAAATCTGTATTTCACTGGTGTCTGGAAGCAAACATCCACCAATCGGCAACAGCTCTCGACAAGCAAAACACTTATCTATGTGTGGGTGGGCAAGTTGCTCCCTTGACAACGATGCGGCATCAGGGTCAGTATCACTGAGGCGGTACATTTAATCTGAATATTTAAGTACATTACATATCAAATACTATGTACATTATGTATGCAAAAAGCCAGAACACGCAAGGCATATGAATCCGAATCACATGGAAAAATGTTGTCACGTGTGAACAATATAAAGCTTCATGATCAACGGGTAGCGATTGCAACTACTGTCTACCAATCCCCCGCCAAGCATCGATGCAAACAATAACATGTGGCAAATGCGGGCAACTGTGGAATTAATTACCCCATCCAGGATGGTGATTCAACATTACGCTCCGACTATTTGAAGCCTCCATGTCTGATGTCTGAGCTGCCCACGTAGGTCCGGGCTGTAAGATACGTGCCAGTCCCCGATGAAGATCGGGATCTGTGCAGGAGTTCCACCCGGCAGCAAAGAATTGGTCAAAACCTATGGGCAGCACCAGCCCTGAGGACTTCAGGACAGGTAGACTTTTGGTCCTGTTCTGCTCCCGCAGCATCTAAGGCTTCCGTCCCTGCCTCAAACTCCAAGACTTCAGCCCAGGTTGGTGTTAGCGGCTCGTAGCATGCCTTGGTGTGACCCAGGCCTACACATCTTCGAAAACTATCTGTCAGCCTTCAACTCAACCAACTCAAGCTGCCTGGGAAGATCCTGAATTGAGCAAACCAAGGCCATCATCCTCTTGCAGCCAATTGCGATCAGCCTTGGCCTAGCCTCTAGGCCGAAGGGGTGTACCATTTAATCAGCGTGGTGTGTTATGGCTTTAAGAAGCAAGCACACAGCTAGCACGTCGTGACGCTGACACAAATCAAAAAGACAATGCACAAGAGCCTTCCAAACACAAATGTGTCACGGTCTGAGCTTGCACAACGTGAAATTTGTGCCCTGCCACGCATCCACCGCCATTTCTGGGTATGCCCGTGCCCCCAGCGCTGGTGACGTCGCGAATCTTCGAGGGGAGGCTCTTGACCTCGGGCCAGCGTTGCGCAAGCCTTGGAAGCTTGGAGTCTGCCAATGAGCACACCATGCATTGGCCCTGTTTGGTGGGCCCTCGGGAAAGGCTGCGAAGGGCAGACAAAGTCAGAAGCTAGCCTGTCTGTTGAATCGGCTTGCCTTGATGCAGAAGTTACGCGTACTTCATGGAACATTTGCCTCTATTGGTCAATCGACTTGAGGCCAAAGGCGATCATCAACAAGGGCCCTCGATAGGACTAGCTTATAGGCAGTTTTTGCATGGTTTCAAGTAGCCATTGGAGAAGAGGGGACCTCGCTGCTGACTTGGGCCTCAAGCCCTCTGACTTCTGACTGCACAGCTCCTGACAAACAAAAGCTGTACCCCTGCTAAGCCAGCATTGAGCGTCCCGACCGCCCTGGCACAGCTTTGTCTGATGGA